GCTATTCCAGCGTGTCTTAACAGGCTTCACAAGCTGCCGGATGTGGGGTGTAACACCTAGAGACTCTGCCTCCTCGCACTGTAGGCGCTCTAGTAGTTGTCGAGTTTGAGGCGTACAGATAGACGCAATCACGTCAAAGAGGACGCCAACAGGACCGTATTTGCGCCACTCATCCATGTACTTCTCCTCTTCCTCAAGGTGTGCGGCTTCATTCTCGTACGCGCTACGGTCTTTGCCCCAAATTACTAATTGTGCGCTTAGGTTGAGTATATGGCAGCAGCACCGCAGCCGCCGCTCGCTTGCGATAAAGCCAAACTCCTCTGCTAAGGACTCAACTGCAGTATCATTGTTACTTGCGTTGTCAAGCACAAAGTACCCAACCCTCGCGTTGTCAACGCCAAATAGCCGAAGTATTGTTGTTGCTGCAGCGGCAATATTATTGCCAGTGTGCGCCCCGTGTAGCTCAGGCAACCCAAGCAGGTGGTCAACTAGCTTGCCCTCGCTGTTAAGGTAATGTACGCAGAGGCCAGTAAAAGCATACTGCCCACCAGTTGAAGTCCAGTTGTCGAATGACACGTGTATAAGCGACCGGGCTTCGCGAAGGTAGTTGGCAACAGCTAGTATGTATGTATTGTACTCAGTAATAATATGATCGTGGAGCGTTTAGTGGCTACGCCAAAGGAGAGCTTCGGCTAGCGGGCTCACGGCCGCAATCATGGCTCGAAACTGCGGCGTTTCTATTACGCGAAGGCTCTGGTTGTCCGCGACTACCCAGTCCTTCAGCGCGTCCTGAAATCGAGAGGTTGAAAAGCTTGCTGCTATCTCGTTTGCTACCTCTTGCGATACTTCTATCCCTTTAGACCTCATAATATATACTTGGGACTTTGCGAGCGCGCCCATAATATTGCCCTCCCGGCTAGCAATTGGTACAGGTCCGTTAGGTCCGTGTGAGTGTCCAGGCTTGTTGCTTGAGAGGTGTCGGCCGGCGTTTGTAGTGCTGTCAGCCTCGTAGCAAGCCTCCTGCTTCCGTCGTTGATGGCAGTACCGGCAAAGCCAGTAGTTTTTCTTGTACTTGCGGTGCCAGACGGCCCAGCCGTGGCGGTAGATCCAGCTTTTTGGCCCACCGCGACTATTACGCTCAACCTGGCGCCGCTCAAGATACGGCACACGCTTAAAATCAAGCCCGTCGTAATTGTCGTCGTCGTCGTCGTCGTCGCCGTCGTTGGGGAAGTCCGCCTGTACTGCCAAGGGCTCATCAGCCTGGGCCTCGCTCGCAGTATCGCCAACAGTAGGCGCGTTTGATAGCGATGGTAGAGGAGAATTGCGCTTGTCGCATTCTACAAGGCGGCGAAGGCCTGAATTAGAGGGAGTAGACATGAAGTACACCAAGAAGTATTATGGCAACAGTAGTCTAGCGTCGTGTGTATAGCAGACGCGACGCGACGCGACGCGAAAGGCTTACTAGGTGCGCACCGGGTAGCGCATTTCCGCAAACTCTAATTAGCTTAAAGCTAGATGCTTTAACTTATATAGGATTAGTGTCTTTATATCTAGGACTAGCGCGGCTTCGAAGCCGCACTAAATGTGGCTTTCACAACTCTAAAATACTGCTTTAAAAACAGCTAACGTCAGTCTAACGTCAGTCAGTTCAGTCAGTCTGGAGGCTTCTGAACTGACTGGACTGACGTCCAGCTGCCTCAAGAACTGACGTCCAGCTGCCTCAAGAACTGACTGACTGAACTGAGTCTTGGCAGTCAGTTCAGTCAGTTCGAACTGAGTTACCTGACTGATAGCAAGTCTGCTTCTGGACCACTTCCCGATCCTTCGCGCACATTTCGTTTACTTCCAAGGGAAGCTATGCCAGGTCGTACCTCGCCATCAAGACCTGCCTTTCTTTACCTTCGAAGTCGACGGACCACTCGCGGAAGAGTCGCAAGCCATATGTATGCGAGACCTTGACCAAGCGTCTCCATTTGGACTTCCCACCTCTTTCATGCTTGTCCGAACTGCCGCAGGATTGAACCGATTAGTCGTCCGACTGTCTCACGCCCAATACGACGGTTTCTGCCTCCCAGTTATGTTCAGAACACTCGCAACTATCTACCAGCAGGAGCCCTTACATCGGACGACTGGCTTCCATAACTTCCTTGCATATGTTCGCGGTAGAAATTCGCTATCAGTCCATTACTGGCGCGACCTTCTTGCCGGCTCGTACGTCACCAACATTACCTCAAAGATTTGTCCCAAGGTACGCAACGATATCGCTCTTCGGAAGATTAAGGTGGAAAGAACCATGTGCACACCCCAGCTTCCTGCAGGTATTACTATGACATCACTCGTTAGTTCCGCTTGGGCTGTAGTGCTATCTCATATCAGTGGAGAAGAAGATGTCGTATATGGGTTTGTAGTTGCAGGCCGTAACTCCATCCTACCAGGTACCACAGAGCTCATAGGCCCTTGTGTGAACTTCGTTCCTGTTCGAGCTCGGCCTGTTTCGACCAGAACATCGGCGGGACTCCTTCGCTCTGTGCAGAATCAGTATATCTCGCTTGGCGAGTCAGACTCAATGGGATTTGACGACATAGTCCAACACTGCACTAACTGGCCAGCCAAGTCAGAGTTCGATTCAATCGTCCTACACCAAAACATCGAGGAACAACCAGAAGTCCACTTCGCTGGAGAGGCTATCAAGCTTCAATGGTTTCAGAATCCCTTTATAGTGCCTCGCCAACTGGCGGTCGTGTCATACCCAAGAGGTAATAGCCTGGCCATTACAATCAATGGCAACACCGGGATATTAGCAGATCGATGTGCAGAGAAGCTGCTTACGATGCTTTGCGATACAATCATACATCTCTCAGGTAACCTTGAGGCACCTCTAGCAGTGTGTAAATCGTCGTTGCCAGCATGTACGTGGGACGATGAGTAAAGATCTATGAGGACCAGCAGTTAGACTAGCATACTTTGTGCCTACGAATGTGTGCTTGTAATTAGTTGCGTTTTTTATATACATTCGCGTGTATCTAATACTGGTATTTTATACTTGTGTATCCTTATCGGCATTTGTGACGGTTATGAGGAGAAGCAGATCACGTGTTGGTGGTCTAGTGCTGCTTCCTCATTTTATTGAGCACCTCTTACCTCAGCTGGATCATAGATACGTCATGTAAAATAGACCCTGCTGCTGCTTCTGAGAGCACAGCACGAACAACAGAACACCATAGCAGAATACATGAAATTACATTCTACCGCAACATATTGCGATGACCCATGACCGATGAGCCATTCTCAGCTTCTAAAAACTATATACTCAATTCGCAAAAGAGGCTCTCGCATAAGAAGAATCGCAAATATAAAGAACTCGGACAGCTAAGTGCGAATGTGAATATGAGATGAAAGATGTATGCGTTTGTTCAAGCCGTGAAATCGACACGCTTCCGCTAAGCTTTAGTATACCTTGAACAAGGCTAAATCTATGTGCCACCTTCTATACCGGAGGGTCGAAGATATTGTCCTAAAAGAACACGTCGCAAGATTGCTTGGCTACTTCCTCGATGACGAATTCTAAAATATCATATGCGTGGTGATTGTAGAGGCGTCGACTATGCGATGCTGCCTCTGTCGGTAGGTACTAGAATGTTCTAGGGCTTTGGTTTTGGGACAGTTAGCGAAAGGACTTTGTTAGACTGAAATAGATAGTGTTACGCCATATGATTCCGTCCGGTGGCCCGCCAGATCTAGGAAGATCGGTTTTGACGCCTCCGAGGAATACAGGGTATCTGACATGTGCGCACGCCATCCATCATCCATGCGTCTCACGAATCCTCGAAGAGCCTGTCGCCGCCAATGCAGCAGAGTGACGCAAATGCACGACACAGATTCCATCCCTAAGCTCAGCGGCTGCAGGCAAGACACGAGACAAGCTGATACACCAAACCACCCCACCCCCACTACTACCACAAACCAGCACCAATGACGTATCGCTTGCGCAAACAGAACTGAGACATTATAGATGCCTTGCTTGTGTAACTCGGGAGACGCTGCGCCAGTGTAATAGCGGATGCAGGCAGTCGTGGCTACCGTGCATCAAAAGCGTAGGAAGGCAGACATGCGCAGCACCCCGTGCAGAACCTACTAGCCTTTTTGTCGTCGTTGTTATAAAGAAGGTCATTGTGCTAATTATAGAGCATCGCCTGCGCTACTGCTGCTGTGTGGTGTGGATGCAGGCAACAGCTCATGACATTCTGCGTGTCGCGTCCCGTGGCTGCGTAGGCAGGTTCCACCGCTAACTTAGCATCGCGTCCACCGTCGCCAGCTTGACCCCAAGCGCGCACATGCACACAATCATGTAGTCTTTGCAGCAGCAGTCTGCAATTGTTACAAGGGAGGATGCTTGTGGAGAGGATGGAGTAGGGCAAGACCAGCTACCGCTCAGCCTTGTAGTCTAGGCCCATCAGCGTGGCACAGCCGCGAGCGCTGGCTTCGGGTTCAACGCATACGGCCCACCATTAGCTAGTCTATTGGGATCGGACGGCTGCCATCTGGATCTTCCTTGAAGTTGTGCGAGACAGATACAACGAATCAGTCTGGTCGTTGAGAGATTTCGTTCGGCACGCAGAACTTGTATGTAATTTTCCTCCCATATAGTCTGACTGAGATGTAATGGTGGCAGGCACGGGAGCTAACCCAAGCGATTAAGCTAGGATTTGTACATCTCCATGAGATCGCTCGCTATCCGTTCTACTCGAACGAAACTTCAGATGTGGTAGTCGATACAGTCGAACGGCTTATGGCTAGCTACTCTAAGCTGCTCCTACTAGAAAAGAGAGATGATCGCTACTTAATTTTCAGGATAGAATTTCTGCGCTAGAGAAGGATGTGCAGGGATTAAGAGGCGATCTGAATCTCTAACTGAACGTCTGCAGAACGAGATTGGTCTTGTAAGCTATGCTTTTTTCAACTTCAAATCCGGTAGTGGCTGATATTTTGTAACCACGTGACTAGAATCAAATGATTTCCTATTGTAGCAGGCACTGCCCGGTGGGCAAGTGCTGCACTTACCTCTGAGCTGAGAGCTCTTGTACACACACATGAAAACACGACCACAGATAGTAATACAATCGTTGATACACAGCCTCCACCCGACACTGCTCACGCAGTTACATATTTCCTTAGGCATATAATCTCATAGCTTAGCGCGACAGCTAGATTAGGGTTTAGATGGGCGTGGAAGCCCATGAAGACAATAAGATTATAGTCTAGATGGGCGAGCGTGCTCGTCAAGACAACAACAACGACAACAACAACAACAACAACAACAACAACAACATGAAACTGATCGCCGTGGTTGGCTTAATTTATCTCCCTAGCACTCTTGTGTCCAGTCTTTTTAGGGTGAACTTTTTTTCGTTTGACGAAGAAAACGGCCAGCAGGGATAGCAGATGTCCGAGAAATTTTGGCTATACTAGGCCGTCACTGCACCTTTGACGCTACGCACCGTTCTTATCTGGGCTCTGGTCAATTAAAGAAGGGTGGCTAAGCGGTAATCCAGACACCGAAGAATATATGAACATGGCGGAGCGAGGTTCGTATTACGCCCATGCATCTGCGCTTTGCGCGGTTCTGCGAGGACAATGCAGAAAGAGAGATGTGTATAAAAGAAAGGCGTTCGTGTTGCGGTGAACATGCGTATAACAGGTAGGACCTGGAGCCACACGGCCAGACCCTACGGCCCAGCAATCCTGCAGACCGTGCGCAACCCCAAAGGACGCAACATAGCTTCTTTACTTCGCGGATTCTCCCCTCGTCGTCCTCGCCACCACATCAAACATATCGCTAATATTCAATCCTTCCCAGCCTGCAAGGCAGCCTCCGATCGGTCGTTTACGCCAGCCAAAATCTGCTCAGCCTTTCAAGGCGCAGGCCTTGCTCCACTCCGGCTAGAAAATTTTCTGTGAACCTAGAGATACAGCTTCGTACGCCTAAGTCGTACACTGTTGAGGAGGAGATCGACCACGCCCTAGCTGCCAGGTTCTAGCACGCTGCAAGAAGTGTCGGTAAAAAGCCCGGTCATTACTCGTGCACATGCAAAAAGAAAACGTCGGACATCATTTATTCTAATATACGGATGCACATGTGAAGAATCACGAAGTGGTTGAGGCATACGTCTCTAGAAGTGCGCAATGTTGGTGGAGTGTGCCACTCACTTGACCAGACTTGCTATCAGTCAGGTAACTCAGTTCGAACTGACTGAACTGACTGCCAAGACTCAGTTCAGTCAGTCAGTTCTTGAGGCAGCTGGACGTCAGTTCTTGAGGCAGCTGGACGTCAGTCCAGTCAGTTCAGAAGCCTCCAGACTGACTGAACTGACTGACGTTAGACTGACGTTAGCTGTTTTTAAAGCAGTATTTTAGAGTTGTGAAAGCCACATTTAGTGCGGCTTCGAAGCCGCGCTAGTCCTAGATATAAAGACACTAATCCTATATAAGTTAAAGCATCTAGCTTTAAGCTAATTAGAGTTTGCGGAAATGCGCTACCCGGTGCGCACCTAGTAAGCCTTTCGCGTCGCGTCGCGTCGCGTCTGCTATACACACGACGCTAGACTACTGTTGCCATAATACTTCTTGGTGTACTTCATGTCTACTCCCTCTAATTCAGGCCTTCGCCGCCTTGTAGAATGCGACAAGCGCAATTCTCCTCTACCATCGCTATCAAACGCGCCTACTGTTGGCGATACTGCGAGCGAGGCCCAGGCTGATGAGCCCTTGGCAGTACAGGCGGACTTCCCCAACGACGGCGACGACGACGACGACGACGACAATTACGACGGGCTTGATTTTAAGCGTGTGCCGTATCTTGAGCGGCGCCAGGTTGAGCGTAATAGTCGCGGTGGGCCAAAAAGCTGGATCTACCGCCACGGCTGGGCCGTCTGGCACCGCAAGTACAAGAAAAACTACTGGCTTTGCCGGTACTGCCATCAACGACGGAAGCAGGAGGCTTGCTACGAGGCTGACAGCACTACAAACGCCGGCCGACACCTCTCAAGCAACAAGCCTGGACACTCACACGGACCTAACGGACCTGTACCAATTGCTAGCCGGGAGGGCAATATTATGGGCGCGCTCGCAAAGTCCCAAGTATATATTATGAGGTCTAAAGGGATAGAAGTATCGCAAGAGGTAGCAAACGAGATAGCAGCAAGCTTTTCAACCTCTCGATTTCAGGACGCGCTGAAGGACTGGGTAGTCGCGGACAACCAGAGCCTTCGCGTAATAGAAACGCCGCAGTTTCGAGCCATGATTGCGGCCGTGAGCCCGCTAGCCGAAGCTCTCCTTTGGCGTAGCCACTAAACGCTCCACGATCATATTATTACTGAGTACAATACATACATACTAGCTGTTGCCAACTACCTTCGCGAAGCCCGGTCGCTTATACACGTGTCATTCGACAACTGGACTTCAACTGGTGGGCAGTATGCTTTTACTGGCCTCTGCGTACATTACCTTAACAGCGAGGGCAAGCTAGTTGACCACCTGCTTGGGTTGCCTGAGCTACACGGGGCGCACACTGGCAATAATATTGCCGCTGCAGCAACAACAATACTTCGGCTATTTGGCGTTGACAACGCGAGGGTTGGGTACTTTGTGCTTGACAACGCAAGTAACAATGATACTGCAGTTGAGTCCTTAGCAGAGGAGTTTGGCTTTATCGCAAGCGAGCGGCGGCTGCGGTGCTGCTGCCATATACTCAACCTAAGCGCACAATTAGTAATTTGGGGCAAAGACCGTAGCGCGTACGAGAATGAAGCCGCACACCTTGAGGAAGAGGAGAAGTACATGGATGAGTGGCGCAAATACGGTCCTGTTGGCGTCCTCTTTGACGTGATTGCGTCTATCTGTACGCCTCAAACTCGACAACTACTAGAGCGCCTACAGTGCGAGGAGGCAGAGTCTCTAGGTGTTACACCCCACATCCGGCAGCTTGTGAAGCCTGTTAAGACACGCTGGAATAGCTATTTCAACACGTTTGTCCGTGCAGCTGAGCTACACGGCCCTATCGATGGCTATATTGAGTGTAAACTTGAGGAGCATAGTGCTGCAACAGCAACCTCACGACGCCGGAAGAATCGTGAGCAGCTCCCTGCTGCCCAGCCACGGTTATATATACGCGAAGGGGGTCTAAACGGCAAGGACTGGGCGACAATAACAGAATACATTCGACTCCTTGAGCCATTTGCCGAAGCTACACGGCTACTTGAAGGTCGCGGCCGACACGGCCGACACGGCGCTATATGGGAAGTTCTAGTAACGTTTGAGTGGCTTCTTGACCAGCTTGAGGCTCTCAAAGACCGCCTTAAGGATGTAAATTACGAAGATCTAGATGCGCCTGAAGATCATCTTATTACAAACGTTAACCTTGCACATTGTAAGCTTGCTAAGTACTACGCAAAATTCGATAACGCGCCTGTCTACTACACTGCTACAATACTACACCCGCACTACAAACACCACCTCTCAGCGCTCTGGAAGGTGCCTGACACCCATGTCACTGCCCGTGACGGTGTCCACTATCGCGACGGCTGGCTTGACAATAACCACCGGGCATTCCTGCGTATGTGGCAGGGGCGGAAGGACTCTGCAGCCACTTCAGCTCACACTGTAACGCCGCCGCGTAAGAAGCCCCGGCTAGGGATTTCAACGTCGCGATCAGCTTTTCTACAGTCGTCAATTGAGCAAAGCACACGGCAGTTAGAGGCAAGCCTTGCTGAGGATGAGTATGAGATATGGAAGCGGCAACCAGCGTTAGCTGAGGAGGATTGGCTGTCTCTTAATCCGCTTCTATACTGGGAGTCAGTTGCTGGGCAGTTCCCTATACTCTCAAAGTTCGCTATTGACGTCCTAACAATACCAGCAGCAGCGGCAGACTGTGAGCGGACTTTCAGCGAGCTTGGCGACATGTTAGGCACCCGGAGACTCCATATGAAGCCAGAGCTTATTTCAGCTTTGCAGAGCTTGAAGAGCTGGAAGAGGCTTGGTATACAGCCAACAACTACCTCAGCTTCTGGGCTAGCGCGCACACTATCAGAGGAAGAAATCTCAAAAGTACAGGAGCATTTATCTCAGTTCGACGTCAGGTAACTCAGTTCAGTCAGTCCAGTCAGTCCGCAGGCCGCGGCGACGTCAGTTCAGTCAGTCAGTTTTAGTTTAATTGAAAAGTCTTGGCAGTCAGTCCAGTCCAGTTCAGTGACCTCAGGACGTCAGTTCAGTCAGTCCAGAGAGCTCCGGACTGACTGAACTGACTGATAGCAACTCTGGACTGCACCACCCGATCCGTCAATCAACCGACAACCGGACAACATCGATGAAGCTATACTTCCTGCAGCGCAGCCAAACCCCTTTGGGGCCTCACCTGGATCAGTTGTACAAACCCACTGCGTTGATACTAATAGGTATAGATATGTAAGTTTATAGCCTATTATACCTATAGATAGGTACTACTATATACTAATACTAATGTTTGTTAGTTCCTACAAATTGGAGGCCCTAGGGGAAATGGTCCTCCTCCTAGTAAGGGTTAGAGTAGGCTTAGTAGGATGCGCCATGATATCTGTTATGTGAAGAGTTTTTAGCGGGGAGACCTTTTCTCTTGTACATGAATAGTAATAGCGTAGCTAAAATAGGATAGTATGCATGCTCGAATTGAGTGGATCGCACTGAAATCGGATCAGTAGTAGTGTCTTTTGTTTGGTGATCCTTTGTAAGGCTTCCTGACTTCGTAGCCGGTACTCTGTCGTCTCATGCACGGAATATGTGGACAAGATTATGCACCATAAATTTGAACTAGGAAATCAAAGTCCACCAATACAAGCCACCGACAAGTTATGATGATGATTCTGTGAAATTCAAGTAGTTGTGCATATCGATGGCAGGCGTGTCAGAGGTGTGCAGTGAATTGGGCTGCGGGTTAGCGCGGGTCACGTGGCAATCGGACGTACCTACTCCGAGATGCCGACATTTTGCCACTTCGCGCCTGGCCCACGCCAACTGCCTGCCAAGACCATCGAACCCCATCACCATATCTCTCCACCAACACCGCACTCCACCACTACCGCTCTCCACCACTATCCCTCCCTATCAGCATCACATTCCTTCACCTTCACACCTATTACATCGACATTCGCGTGCCTCTTCGCAGCGTCGCCTCTTGTCAGCCGTTCTCTACCGCTCCCTCTTTGCCGTCTCGCTTCAGTACACCATCTCTCGTGGACCTTTGGCTCGCAGTGCGCACGGCGTTTTAGGCTTCATCCCCTACACGCCAACGGCTGCGCGTCATAGGGGTGATACTCAGGCAGACACTGGCGAACAAGGGCGGAGACAGCGGTTCACGAGTTGGCGCGCTGCAACAGACGCGCCCGAGTCAGGGCTGCTCTTTGCGACCGACGCGAGCAAAGCCCGGGTGGGTGGGTTTTCCTTGCCTACAGCAAGGCAAGGGGAAAAGCTTTGTAAGTATTGTACATGTGTTTCTGAGACTACTGAACAATGAGCCATTATCTTGTGAGGAAGCGAGGTATTCCCGTCTTGGCTCGGTCAAGGTCGGATGCTGCCGCGCCGTGGCCTTGCACGCTGTTCGCAACATATTCAGACACGCAGGCGCAGGCGCAGGCGAGTCTGTGCCTTCGCTTCTCGATACCTGTCTGCGGCTTCAGCCAAGACCAAACCTTTACCTTGATATACGATGCCGACAACCTTATGCCCGGGGGAAACTTCATCAAGCCCGCAACCACATTACTTCCACAAGACCAGCTGGCCCAACTTGCGCGATCTGGAAACCCCGAGCTACGAGTGTTGGCTTTGGCCGTCAAGCAGCCGTGTTCCATCCGCTGCCCTCACTCTCCGGGAAGCCTTGGCCCAAAGAACGGCTTTGAGGTCCCCTTTCACCAACTGCGGAAGATTGCGCAAGCAACAGAAATCGATGTGCTACTTGACTATAACTGGGTACACACAGACAACCGGGCGCTCCTCGAAAAGCTCCTCAAGCATCCGGAAGAACTAGCAGGCCTTGTAGAGAAGGGCAAGTACACAAGACAACACAAGCGCGTGGACTGGACCGTCTTCGGACCTGTCAATCAAGAAGAGCCGCCACCTTACGCCTCCGCCTCGCACAAGCGTTCACGACCGGGTGAGTGCCCTACATAAACCGGCGCGCCGGCCATTGCTGACACAGACTCCGCAGCCCCAACAAACTCATCACCCAAGCATCCGTCTCCAAAACGCATATTACTTGAGCCTGCCCTCTTTCCAGGCTCGCCGACGGAAAAGGCTACCACGACCACGCAGTCGCCCAGTCCACGCCCTCCATCTCCACATGTGCTCGTCGCGCCCGACATCCAAGAAGCGGTCAACAAAGCTGTCGCGTTATATCTCCCAATCGCCCTAGAGTATCATCTACAAAAGCTTTTCGAAGAGGCGGTCGAGCATGCGCATGACCTACGCAACCAAGCCGACGGCGACTTTGAAGATGTAATCGCCGATCACAAAATCGATATTGCTGGAATCAAGGATGACGGCATCGATGAGATGAATCGCGTGGTGCACGACAAGCTATCAGAGTTGAAGGAGCAGGCTCAGGACATTGTGGATGATGCTGTAGAGAGAATGCAAGATGGTGCACTTGAAGCATACGACAGCATTGATGGCAAGCTAATAGCCATGTTAGATGAGCAGGACGAATACCTAAGGCGTCAGAGGGAGTTGAATTTGAGCTACAAGAGGAACTTGGACAAAGAGAGGAGCCGTAGATGGCGAAACGCATTGAGTGGCCGAGGCCAACGCTCCATCTCCTTGCCGTTGTAAGAACACGACATTGCGCCTGAACCGGGCTGGTGTTGACTTGGCGTTTACATGTTGGTTTTCCATCCAGTAGTGTCTTACGATAGGGTGCGGGATACCCCTGTACGGCTCGAGTCGTCTTAGAGTATGACGTTCAGGACATGGGTCTACAGTATAGTACCTGGGACATGATTGTCGTTGTGTGTTCAAACAGGATTGCTGATCTGACTACAATATGTTGTGAGATACTCAAGTAAGTCGGCGCTGCATCCACAGCATTGGTAGGTAAGTCAGATGGCTTGTGGTTTCACTCACTTGCTTGAAACATGCCATCTCTTGTACTCTCTAGCCAGCTTTACTGGCGATATGTTTGATTCTGTCTACTCGGTAGTCAGTCGCTCTCTTTCTCCTGGCAATTTCTGAAGCTCTGCATTGATGCATTGGCCACATGTACCACTCTATAGTCGTCGATACTTTGAATATGCGTAGAACGTTGCAAAACTGTCCTCCTACTTTGCTTTCCTGATTACTTTCTTCGCATGACGCCACTAGCGTCCTCTTCGGGGCTGAATCCGCTCTTTCCAGGCTATCTACTTTGATGTACCGCGTCTGCCTTCGCTAGCATCCGTAACACTATTGGCACAAGCTACCGAAGGCTGAGAAAGTTCATGTCACTTATGCATCTGGTGGCTGTGATGGTGGCTGTGATGGTGGCTGTGATGGTGGCTGTGTCAGCTGAAATTAGGATTGATTATACCTGCGTCATTCCTCATATACCCCACCATGAAGCTGAAATGGAGAAGGAATTCAATACTTTGAGTGTCCTTTGGAAAGCGAGATGTTGGGAATCGAACCTGCGGTAGATAAGGCAGCTGGTTGCTGCATGCACGAGCTTGGATTACACGGCTGACTAAGCCGTGTGGTCCGAGCTCTAGCTGCTGCCTTACTGCCGACCTCCCTCCACCTCCATAGAACAACAAAGAACAATCACAATCATTTCAACTCGTTGCAACGAAGGTGATTCCGATACCTTAGCCGTATCAACACGAGATGTTGGCAAGGGAAGAGGAGGGAGGAAAGAACTCAGTCGTACGTCAATAGATTTGAGTACCTAGGTATATCATAAAGTTATCCATCATAGAGTTCTTTCAGACATGCATATCCTACAGTTTTCGCTCCAGGATCCCTGTTGTGAACACGCAATGCCTCACATGTCCCAGCCGCCTTGGGCGTGGTAGTCGGGGTGCATGCGTAAGCGTTTGTCTATCTAGCTTGATTTGAAAAGATGAAATAGCCAAGCAATGTGCAGATTATATGCGGGAAAGACAATACGCGGGGATGGATCTGACGTGTGCTCTTGTTAGTGGCCAGGATTGTAATGATGGATGATGTGCAGCAGGCGGGATGGGACTGGGGTCGATGGTGGCTGCTGGTTGGCAAGACGCTTGTTTTAGCATACCCACATGTTGCAGCCGCATGAAGGCGAAAGTCGCGACTGAAGCTTGACAGCTGCCACGGCCGGTAGTTTTTTGGACTTTGCAGACAGTCGCCAAGCAGCCATCCTGACCCCACTTGAAGCTGGAGGTGTATTGATAGTGCACTGATCAGCACATGCCCCTGAACTAGATGTTCCAATGGAGTCGCCCGTCCCGAACCATGGCTCCGGCGACATAGCATCGTCGGAAAGCTTGGTCACTGCGAGCCCCCAGCCAAAAAAGCTGCCCGCACCCTCCACACCTACATCGTCAGTCCGGCGCAAGATGGCCTCGAATGCGCCCTCATCGGCTTCCAAAGAGACGGTTCCACCCCGTCGCCCAACCACAACCAGCGCTACAACTGCTGCTGGTGCCCGTCGCCCCGCCGCGTCATCAACAAGCACGGCCAGAACAGCTACGGGCGCGACAAAGGCGCCTTCCACCTCAACCTCGCGCACCAGCGCAGTCGGGGGTAGTCTGAATAAGCCACCTACGCGTCCAGCGGCGACGACTGCAGCAAGAAAGACGGCCTTGTCCTCCCGAACGACGTCTGATGCCGAACCAGACCTATCGTCATTGACTTCTGGGGATGAGAAGAAGAAGCCAACTGTGCGCAGAGCGCCAGTTACGGCGGCAAGTGCGACACGCCCATCGCCAGCAAAGCCAAGCCCTTCTCGTCAATCGCTTGCTTCTTCGTCTACAACCTCGGCGACGGCAGCGACGAAGCGACCACTGACGACACGGCCTGCAGCAGAGGCAGCGACGACCCGCGCACCGCGCACCTCCCTTGCTTCGGGTGCGAGACCTGCTGCTACACGCCCATCTGCGGCGACAGCGACAACTCGAGCGGCAGGCACCATACCAAAAGTGCCCGTAGGACATGCGAAAAAGCTCTCGGCCGCTGCCCCCGCTGCGCCTACACCCCCGCCCGAGACAGAGGACACGGCAGAGGAAGGGTGGGTGACGCGCGGGTCTTGTGATATAGGAATTGCTAATTTAAGTCTACAGGGAAAGCCCCATTGTATCGCCCCGCGGCAATGCCCTCCACAAGGAAAAGGCCGCCTCCGATGCCGAAGTCGAGCATCGCAAGAACGTCCTCCAGCCCCTCAAGGCCGCCTTGGCGAACCTGGGCGAGGAGACACCACGGCCGGACACTGCGCCCACAGGAACCGCCGAGATGGACGTTGAGATGAAGAGGCGGAGCGCCCAGATCATGCAAGACTTCTTCAAGGAGACCAATCTGCGCGATAAGCTCCAGGAGCAATGCGACGACCTCAGTCGTGAGGTGGACAATTTGCAGTCGGAGAAGGCGAAGCTACGTAGCCAGCTGGCCGATGCGCAGGCGGCCATAGTGGAAAAGGACAAGGCTATTGCTGGCGGCACTAGTGCCTCGCCATCCGAGCAAAGCGCGCACACAACCCTTGTCAAAGACATGGAGACGAAGTTTGCGAGGGAGACCAAACAGCTGGAGGAGCAGAGCCAGCAGCTAGAGGAGGAGAAGAAGGCGGCGCAAGAGAGAGAGGCCACGGAAGCAGCCAAGGCCAGCGAATTGCAGCAGGTGCTTGACGATTTGAACGCGGAACTCGAGCAACAAGGTCGCCAGTGGGACGAGGAGAAGAAGAAACTCGCCGAGCAGGCCACGCAGATCGAACAGCTAACCACCGAGGTTGCGACCCTCAAGGACGAGCGCGACACACTCTCGCAGGAGCTGGACATTGCGAAAAAGACGCTGGAAACCCTCGAAGCCAAGTTTCTCGACCTTGAACAGACCCAGGCGGATAATCTTCGTTCGCGCGATGCTAAGATCAACGAGCTGACCAAGACTGTCGATGAGTACGTAACTGAAGTCGCGTCAAGGGAGGAACAACACAAAGAGGCCCTGCAACAAGCACAGCAGTCTTTGGAATCCAAGTCGTCTGAGTCTTCAGTCGTGGTGGAAGAGCTCCAGGCCAAGATTGAATCGCTGCATCAACAGCACACGGACGAATTGCGACTCAAGGACGAAGAAATAGTGTCCCACCTTCAGACGAAGAAAGAGTTACAAGACGACCTCGCCAACCTGCAGCAGCGTGCTGATCAAACCTCGCAAGAGCTTGAGAACGAACGCAATGCGCACACCGAACAGCTCCAAGCCAAGATCGACGAGATACGGAGCACTTCGAATGACGAGCTGCGCTCAAAAGAAGAGGAGCTTTCAGGCCACCTCAAGTCGATTGACGGTCTTCAGGAGCAGATCGTGGCTCTTCAGCAGGGTTCGACCGATGGTGCTAGGGTAGCTGAGGAACTCCAGAAGCAGATTGAAGACCTCAAACAGTCGCATGAGGCTGCAATTAAAGTCAAGACCGACGAGAACGAAGAACTCGTCCGACAATTGGAAGCCACGAAGAACCAGCTCACCGCGGATGCTGCCGAGGTAGAGCAGCTCAAACAGGAAACCACTAGTCTGCGCAGCACCATCGATACTCTGGAGAAGACTTCCCAAGAGCAAGAGGCACACCACGCCTCCGACATCGCAAAGGTCCAATCTCAGCTGAATGAGGCAAATGAAAAGGCCAGCGCACTCAAGTCCGAGTTGAGTCGATAGAGGAGAAGCACAGACAGGATTTGCGTGTAATAGGCGAGGACTACGAGCGCGAGATTGAATCGCTCAGAGCTGACTTGGAAGGAGATGCGACAAACCGACTAAACAAGCTTCAAGCTGAATTCGACTCATTAGTGGCTGAAAAGAACGAACTCAGTAAACAACACGACCAGGTCATCGCAGAGAGATCCGCGGAACTCGAGGCTCTCAAGCAAGAGCTGGCCAATCTCCAAGACAACATCACATCAGCGGCTGGAGATCACGAGAAGACTCTTAGCAAGCTCAAGCAAGTCGAAGACGACAAAGCAGCTCTGGCGGAGGCTCACGGCATTTCACAATCCCTGGTTGCTGACCTCCAAGCTCGCGTTGACTCACTGACCAGTGACGCTGGTGTTGCCAAAGATCTACAGGCTAAGATTGACGCATTGCAACAGGAAAGAGATGCCGTGGTTGAAGCTCATACAGCCTCGCATTCGATCATTTCCGACTTGCAAGCTCGTCACGATTCTTTGCTAGAGGAGAAGACCGCCGCAGAGGATGCACATGCTCGTGCTGTCGAGGCCCTGAAGCAGGAGTCTGAGAGCACCCTTAAACAGCTGCTTGGTGGCTTGCAGTCAAAGTATGAAACTTTGCTCGAAGAGAAGAAGGCTGCCGAAGACGAACACGCCCGTATTGTTGAGGCCTTGAAGGAGGATTCCGAGAGCTCTTCAAAGCAAATCCTGGCTGAGCTTCAGGCCAGATACGATACCTTGCTACAAGAAAAGGCCGCAGCTGAAGATGCACACAACCATGCCATTAAGGAAATCCAGGAACAGTCTGAGAGTGCGTCGGAACAACGCCTTGCAGAACTCCAGTCCAAGTACAATGACCTGCTGGAAGAGAAGATGGCGATGGAGTCTGTTCATGCTCAGACGATAGAGGCATTGAAAACAGAATCGGAGAGCACAACCAAATCTGCTCTAGCAGAGCTGCAATCCAAGTATGACTCGTTGGCTGAAGAAAAGTCGGAGTTGGATAGCACATCGAAGCAGCGTCTTGATGAGATCCAAGCCAAGTACGACCAGTTGCAAGACGATTTGAACGGCACATCAGAGAACTTGCGCGATCTCCAAAAGAAGCACGACGCTGTTACTCAAGACATGGCCAGTCATGAAGGATCCAACAAGGCTGAAGTCGAGAACCTTCAAACCCAGCGGGATGCCTTTGCCAGCCAGCTCGCAGAACTGGAGAAGAGCCACGCCGAGTTACTTGCCAAACAACTGGCAGCCGAGGAGGCTCATGCTAACAAGCTTGAAACACAGCACGTGGAGATCGAAAAGAAGTACGCCAGCTTGCTAGAAATCATGCAGAGTGATGCAGAACGTCTTGAACAAGAGAAGTCTGCAGCTCTGTCAGGCAAGCAATCCGCTCTTAACGAACTCGTGGCTCTTAAGAAAGAGCTTCATGCAGAAATCGATGAACTCAAACAAGGTCTTTCAACAAAGCAAGAGTCCAGCTCGCCTGATACTGCGGATCTAGTCAACAAGTACGAAGCTCTCCTTGCCGAAAAGGCTGCTTCCGACAAGGAACACGAAGACGCGATTGTTGCGCTCAGGGACTCATTGACGAATGATCACAAGGAAACGTTGTCGAAATTGCAGTCTGATCGCGATGCGTTGCAGCTCAAGATTGCCGACACCGACCGCGAGCATCTTGAAGCAATCCAAGCATTGAAGAGCGAGTTCAAGGCAGACCATTCCAAAGAGATGCAGGCCCTACAACAGCAGCTCGAAGCTTTGCAGAAACAACACTTGGACCTCACCGAACAGAAGACGTCTATGGATCAGGCGCATGAGGCTGCAATCGGCGAGTTGATGGTTGGCATGGAGGCCAGTACATCGGACGCTCTCCAACAACTGCAGAAGAAGTACGACGCCCTTGCTGCTGAACTGGAGATGGCGCGTTCCACCCACGCCGCTGAGCTCGAGGCTGCAAAGCTGGAAGCCAGCAAGCAACAGGCTTCGCACATAGACTCTCCGTTGCAGAAGGAGTACGCCAGCCCCACTGTCGATACCTTCGGTCCGGACACAACAGCACTTGAGGAGCGGATCCGCGCAGTGGAGCGCGAACGCGACGAAGCCATCCGGGCCGCTGAAGACGCTGAAGACGAGATTGAGACGATGAAAGTCGAAGTCGTCCGGAAGCACTTGGCTCGTGTTGAGCCCCTGGAGAAGGAGAACGCCTATCTCACCGACAAGATAACTCGCCTCGAAGCCATCATCGCCGCCGGTGATAGAATCGCCCGTGCCGCCGCCACCATAGGCGAGAAACGCCAGATCAACACCCTCGCCGAAGAAGAAGAAGAGGAAGAAGACGACACTGTATCTGGCGCTCAACCCAAGGTGGTGAATGGCGGTAGTGACCCCACCAAGGACGTAGTCGGAACTGTGAGTTGAACCCAACCCAAACCCCGTATGTGATTTTCTTTTGTCATCTTTTCATCGTCGTGCGTACGTCAAGCAACAGAATTGCTAATACAACTCTAGCAGTTGGCCGCGATGCAGGAAACGTTACAACAGCTTGCTGAACTTAATAATGATGCTATTGCTGAGAGTACGAGGACGGCGCAGAGACTTACGGCCGATCAGGATCAGGACTAGTTTTGCCTGCTTCAGTGATGTGATGAGTGGATTGTGCGAGATGGCGTATGTGGGTCGGTAACGTGGTAAAGTGTTATCATGTATTATTGTAATTCCCATTTTCTTTTCTTTCGTCCGGATGCTGGCTGCTCAGTGTGAGTATGCGGGCGGATTTATTTTAACCCCTTATGGCATGGCACTATACCCCCCCGTCAATCAATCAATCAATCAATCAATCAATCAATCAATCAATCAATCAATCAATCAATCAATCAATCAATCAATCAATGCAGTATTACCAGTTGATTGGGCTTTTGAGCTCGGTTTTGATTTCTTGAAGAGGTTGTTTTTTGGGGGCTTTGTGATGTGTTTTCGTCTATCAGTCGTATTGGGTGCATATGGTAGCGACACTGGTACCATGGTACAGTCGACCCTAGGCACCTCCCCAAAACTACCGCATCCAAAAGTCCTTAAATGATTACATCGACGCAGCAAATTTGCGATCGACGAGAACCCCTAGCCTAGCCGTATTGGGTGCACCTTGTGGTGAGGCGCGGTGGCTCGCTCCTGCCTCACAACATGTCATGACGTTGAGCGCCACTCTCACCTAGCGATAGCTCTTCTACTCTCTGCCCATACCTTGGTGTAATAAAATACTTGACAGCGGGTAAGCACCCAGTAGGCGTGTCTGCCGACTACAGTGGCCCTTGTACACTGGTATATCGAGTATTCTATGTCACCCAGGTGCCCAAGTGATCTTGGTCCTTCACTCACGTGCCCCGCCACCCGTTAGGCAACACTGTTTCCAAGGCTAGCTGCCTTGCCAAGCTTGGCTCTCTCACCCAAGCAAACAAACTACCATCGCTCCTTTGCGGTCCCGACACACCAACGCCCGATACAGTCTCGATATCGCACACCTGCCTCCACCACCATGCGGGACAAGCCACCCACGACTACTACTCTGTGCGACACGATTGCAGCGATGGCTCCGACACCAGAGTCGCATCGGGTTGCTCGCTCACCCAACAAGACCATCGAGGATCTTCCCGAGGAACTGCTTCTGGAAATCGTCAGGTTGCTTGGCTGCATGCCTGCCTGCGACTACCATAAGTTCCTGCACGGTCTTTGCTTGGTCAAGCCTTTCAATCCTGTGGCTACGCAGATGCTCTACGGCGGACAGGTTCTACACGTTACCAATCACCCCTTGTTGCGCACGGTGCTGGAAAAGCCAAAGTTGGCGGCGCTCATACGGCGTGTTCACCTGACCAAGGAATTCACTTCACGTCTACTTGAATATTACCATGATTCCGAGAAAGAAGAAACTATGGCGGATCTCGAGCAAGCAGATCTGTTCCGCCGTGCGATAGTAAGTTTGGGGCTTCCCGAATGCATTGACGGTGATGCGTGGGCGGGCTGCGTTGAGACTTACGAGTGCGTCTCTGCACTAGGCGCGATACTCATCTTGCATACGCCAAACATGACTAGTTTGACTACAAGCGACTGTCGTACGAGCTTGCTGTACCGAAAACCTGCAACTAGTGGCCCGAACAGCCTCCTACAACCGTAGGTTCCCGAAAACTTCCCCAATCTCCGAACAGTCCATATATCGGGTAACGTTCTCATGATTCAGGTGGCTTCTATCATGCGTCTCCCTGCATTGCAGCAACTCCGAATCAAGCACTTGGACAACTACGGGAGTAGAGAGGATTCCTTCGTACCAGGATGGACGCCAGATATGTTCCAATCGGCCTCAACAAACATAGTTTCGCTGGAGATTACCGAAGGACCCGTCCAGGAAGACGCTTTTGCAACATTGATCCGCGCATGCACCGCATTGGAATTTTTCTGTTATGGCAACGCCGTCGACGCGGATGATATAGATGATTTGTCAATTCGCTACACGTTTAGCATGACAGAAGTTTGGGAAGCTCTACGAATGCACCGCTCAACACTCCATTCGCTAGCTTTCTTCCTCATAGGATATTCCTGCACACCCTTCAGGTCTCTCGTAGAATTCACAGCTTTGGAGAAGCTTTGCATCGATGCCAAGGCTCTATCATACGACACTAGAATGACAACTAGTAGCTTTCGCAGCCGGCTCCCTCCTGGTATCAAGTTCCTACGGGTTATCGGCAAAACCCGCACATACTATGAGTTCACAACCTTGCTCCAGACTATTGGATCTTTTGGTGGGGAGATGAGATATCTGATATTTCCTTTGGATGAAGATCATGAGCCCGAAACATATGACAAAGACTTGCACGATTCTGAGCATTTGGGCAACCATTGGCGCAACAGTGTGGACAGTAGCGGTTTTGGATGGTTCGAAGACGCGTCTCACTTTACAACTTGTGTGTGGGATTGGGAAGTGCCAGGTATGCCTGTTTGATACGCTTTCACTTAGGCGACGGAGATACTTGACGGCTACAGGGTAGGTAAGCCCCCGGTATACTCTTCCTAATGGACCTATCTGACGCCCACAGCAACTCTTACACACTAGGATGTCAAGTGTGCCATGTCACCCAGATGCTCCTCAGGGGAGCGATACGGCTAGGAAATTCATTCAGAAGAACAACAGTCACTGGCAAGTCTTCAGTGACGGCTGGAACTTTGCAAGGGCTTTGGGACCTTTTACGGTAAATGCGGGGCTTGGATACACAAAGGTTTGCGGGAATCAACAAAAGTATTAGAACAAGGTCCCTCTAGTAGTATGACTACTATGGATAACCGAGTGGGAGGAGGGACAAGGCGGGGTGGCTGCAACGTATTTTATTGTCCCTTATGTCGATTATCAACAACTCAGGCTGTTATTATGGGTGCTACTGCCCACCGGGCAGTGGCTACCACACCAGCATATCATGTGACTCTCAAGCACCTTCTACCTTGGACTGAACCTAGATATTCTCAACAAAAAGTGCTTTAGTCAGATTTATCAGGCGTTATGCAGCACAATCGAATGAAACGGACACAAACTACACATTTCCAAAAGTACAAACACACGATGAAACAGTGATGATGATGACAAAAAAATGCTTTCATAAACGTATATCCAGGCACAGCCAGCCAACAGAATCGAAAAAAGTAAATACAAGAAAATTCTCCTCCTCCCTCTTTCTCTTAAATTATCCCCAAATCTTTCATGGGGCAACTTAATTCCTATACGCATCCAAATAACTCGCCCGTCCAACCTGCCCAGCATGAATATGCTCACTCACACGCGCAGGACCAACAGGTTTCCTCCCTTTCACCACCTCGCGTTTAGCAAAACTGGCATGGCGAAGGTCACGCTTAAATGATGAGCCGGGTAGACACTGCGAGTACCAGTCGTTTTGGAAGACGCACTTCCAGCCGTTGGTGCACGAGGTGGAGCCCGTGAAGCCTTGGCCGCCGCAGCGCTCGTAGGGTCCTGAGCCACCGGTGGAGGGAGGTGCGGACGTGGGGGGTGCAGGCATGGGGGGTGCAGGCATAGGAGGAGCGGGCTCGGAAGGAGCACCAGGGACGGACTCGACTGGCGCTGGTGGGTCTGCAGGGTACTCTGTGGGAGAGGTGGCGATGGGTGAGGGGGGTGAGACGGGTGTCGCAGATATTACGGGCTCAGGAGCGGGAGCGTCGGGAGTGCTGGTTGCTGTGGGTGCTGTGGGAGAGGTAACTGGCACGATGGAGCTGGTAGCATCAGGGATGGAAGAGGAAGCTGGGGCATCGGGCTTGCTTGAGCCGCCGCCAAGTTTGAGGATGCGAGCTGCGGCGGCCTCGGCAGCGACCATGACAATAGCTTGGGTGTTTCCGGTGGGAAGGTCGGGGTGGATGGATGCGTCGACGACGAATAAGTTGTCGGTGCCGTAGACTTTTGTGTTGGTGTCGACAACGACGCCGGCATCACCCTTTTTGCCCATCTTAGCTGTGCCGACGTAGTGGCTGCCTGTCTTGAAGGATTTGATGAGGTCCGCGCCGGTGACGTTGGATACACCGGTAGGCGCAATCAGCTTGAGTGTAGAGTTACCACCCTGAGCCATAGCGATCAAACGGTTCATCATCATGGTGATGGCTTCCTTGTCCACGTCAGAGTTCATGTGGGGTTCGGTGATGAAGTTTGTGGCACCAGCGGCAGTGATTCCAAGGCTACCGACTGACTTGAGACCATGGGTGATGTAAACCTTCATTTGAATGGTGTTGTCGGCAGGTGAGTTGCAAGTACCCTGGAAGAAGATTTCGCTGCCGTCGGTGGTGTTGACAGATGACCACCAGTTGAGACGCTGGCCAGACTCCGCAAGAACACCGGAACCCTTGGCGAAGAGATCAACGGTAGTCTGATTGGGCTTGATGAGAGAATTCTTGTCGGTGCCGGCTAGAGGTGCGCTGGTGTTGAACTTGACGGTGAAAATGGGGTGGTCTTTGATCTCAGCTCCAACAGGGAGGTCGATCCAGTCGGCCTTGGCAGGAAGCTTGACGCCAGTGCTACCGCTAGCAACGGTTTGAAGCTGTTCAGTCGGGCCGATACCAGAGTTGAAAAGGATACGGGGTGTAGACATGGAACCAGCTGCGAGGATGACGCTGCCTCCAGCCTTTACGTTGTAGATGACGCGCTGACCAGCTGCTGTCTCAATCTCGACACCAGAAACCTTGGAACCTTCGCGAACAGCGCGAACAACTTTCGTATTCATCATCAACTTGAAGTTCTTGAGCTTCTGCGCGAGGGGAAGGTAGGTCCTTACGACACCGGAGCGGAGACCATTAGCGACGTTCCACGGAGGGTGGCCGTATACATTGACTTTGGAATTGGGGTTCTTGATGAAGTCGGTCTCGGTCCATCCCTGGCCGGCAAAGAATTTGGAAAGAACACCGTACGCTCCGTCATCGTAGCGGACTTTGTCCTCTGAACCGTGAGTCTGTCCAGGGTTGCGCTCGTAGAGGCGGTCAGCAGCGGCGGACACATCAGCCCACTTCCAGCCCGCCGGCCACTTGTCGTCAAAGTCGCGCTCCTGGGGCCTGACGTACATCATAGCGTTGACTGCTGTACCTCCTCCGAGCAGGCAACCCGCCATGTCCGCAGTGTCGGAGCAGTATGCGGGGGTGCCCATATCGCTGAGATAGTAGCCGTAGCCGGGAACGTCGTACATTGTGACCGTGTCGTTCCACGATAGGACATCCTTGTTTCCACTAGACGCGTAGGATGGGCCACCACGCTCAATGAGGAGTACAGAAGCACCGCTTTCAGCGAGTCTCTCGGCTGCAATGATACCTGCAGCGCCTCCTCCGGCGACGATATAGTCGTAAGTTGCGTTGGCAACAGTCGCATTGCCACCAACTGGGGCCACTGGGGCCGTTGAGTTACCGCCAGAGACGGGTGTGGTAGAGTTACCAGCACCAGGTGTACCAGCCACAGCCATAGCAGCCCACTTGGGGTAATCGGCACTGGTAGCATTGGCCATGGGTAGTCCGAACATGCCGAAACCAGCATCGTGGTAGTTGAGGACAGCCGAAGCGGAAGTCGGGTCGGTTAATGCCTTGTCGGAATAAGCCCAGCCCATGACATTCACGTTAGGTTCTTTGTAGATGACAAGGCCTTTGAGTGGGTCATCGGCACTGATGCATTTAGAGCACAAGAATGTGTACGAGAATGCTGTGTCGTTGACATAGGTTCCTTCTAGGATAGGCGACATCTTAAAGTCACCTTCCTTGACGGCCGGGTTGGTGTATCCAGTTGCCTCTCTGAACGACGAGAGGATCTTGCCCTGGTGAGGCCACGCAGTAACCAGCAGGTTACCAGTCATGGATGTCCCCATGCTGAAACCCGCCCAACCCCCATCGTTGGTGATGGGTGCCTGAATTTGAGCGATGAAGTCGGTGGTGGCTTTCTCTGGTAGAGCAATACCGAACTTGAAGCCCGAATCGACGTGAATACCCTGGAATGTGATGCCAGACTTGTCATCGATGTATTGCGAAGATGTCTGTGCCGCAATACGCAGCGCGAATAGGACCGAGGAAAGGATGATTGATCGTGCCATTGCAGCGATGTAGAGTATAATTTAGGAAAAAGAGAAGAATAGAGTGGCTCTGCCTACAAAAGAGTGTTGAAGCCGTCAAGGCTGGAAAGAATGATTGGAAAGCAGCGTTCAAAGAACGAGCAAATAAATGACGAAAGAATGGAAGCAAGAGATGCTGTACCGAAGTTACACCAGGGCATACTTCCCTATATGTAGGCTGCATTCTATCACGGGCCAAGCTGTCCTCAATTTACGACTGTCAAGGAAGAATGCCATGCACGGGCATATCCGATCTAGCGCCCGCCAAATAAGCTCATGATGTAGCGTTGGGACGAGGTTCTACCGAGATTCTGGACGCTGTGGTCCAGGATGTGGTCATCCGGCCGCGCTACAGCTGTCGAAACTATGTGCTTGGCGTTTACACCACTGTGGTGGATTGATTAACCTGCCCGAGTAGCGGAGATATGCCGAAGTACGGTTTGGCAATACGATCGTGTTCATTCGCTGCCCACCATGTTTCGTGTTTGGTTAAGCATCATCCCGACCGGGGGGTGGAGTCTAGCTGTTTCGAAACAAGGGCCAAGGCAGGAACAACCACCCTGCGGAAAATTGCATGTGGACCGACCACCCAGCAAAACAAAACGACATGCCGTTGATTGCATCATCTGCCTCACGATCTGTTCGACCCGCTCATGTGCAAAAGTCGGCTTCGCAGTAATATCTGTGGCTCTCGATGCGAACGCGAAAAAATGGACATGGATAGAAAGATTGAAACCTGCGGCCGAGATAGGGACGCGACGATGCGACGATGAAAAATTGTACAAGAAATGGCCAAGCCATGAATAGAACCCGTGGCAACCTTCGCAAACAACAGTTCGCATGGCCATGGCGTCCTTGTGCAAGCCTCTAGGTACCGGAAGGTGATCGAGGCATCGTTCATGTTAGACTATGCACAGGCGCATCCACGCGTTTGCCCTGTCAATCTTACCGCCGAACGGCATCTGTGTCGCGATACGGTATGCAAAATATGTCGACGTGCTGTTTCAAGAGGTGGGGTGTGTAATTGGTCAAAATTCATCGCGATGAGAAGCTGGCACATCATCGTACCATGTTCCCAAAAACCATACGCTACGTTTTGATACATCGTATGCTCCTACACGAAAAGACTGATGTTTGCCTCAGGCATCAGCATTCGGATTCAACTTGTCGCAGGTGTCAGGTGAGTATCGTAAAGCCTTGACGTCGCAAACATTAGCGTAGATAGACACGAGATTTTCATACTTATCATCGCAGTTAATGAGCACAGTAGGCTTCGGTGAATGACCGCGAGAAGTTACAGCTTTCCCTTAGACGCGTCATGGCCTGTCAGAACAAAGTACCACTTGATACCGCACATGTCAACCCAACCATTTCTGCAGACCCCCGCATTACGTGCGCTTTCCAGTATGGCATCAAGCTTTTCCTTGCCTCTGACCCCGACCGTAATAGACACTAGGCCCTCCGGTAGTCCTTCTTGCCCTCTAATGAAGCCTAGTCTTGCGTTGGTGAACGCGAGCATATCTCTACTCCTTCCCACTCCAAATATCTCTTCCCACTGTCGCGAAGCGGCCTCGTGACCAGCGTCGCCAGGTCGCAGGCGCAGTGCACATCCCTCGAGATTGAGGTGACCCGATTGTTTCATAAGGGAAGTGTAACTATCAACCTGTGTACCGCAGGCGTGCCATGGTGAGAAACGAGTTTGGAGAGGTGTCGGATTGCTCGGGCTCGGTGTATGAGAATCAAGTTCGGGCATGATGCCGCCTAGGATGGTGGTGAGTTACCAGGCCTTGTGTCATCACTAGCCCTTGTCCTACGCACCTTTGATGCCTTTCGGGTGATACTGTATGCAGACTGAATCCGTATACTCGTGTTCGAAAATGACCTTGGCTAATTCGTTTGCCACGATGTAGTCGCGCCTCTTCTTTGCATCCTCTGTTTCCATGATGATCATATATCCGCCTTCGCCGCGCTTTTCAAGCATACGTCCTGCTGTAGTACCTTCTTTGATCGGTGAAACTACCTCAATCATGTCACCACCAAGTGGTACTGCATCTGGGTTAGCAGTTGAATGTGGAAAGCACGATGAACGGACCGAGGAAGTTCTTCAATCCCCATTGCTCAACAGCAACATCTTCGAATATGACGTCTATACCTAGCACGTGAGTCTAATGTTTCTATCAGCCATCAGAAATGCGCTGCTAAGCAAGATACCGTACAAGTAGCTGCTTCGTGCCTTCAAGATCTTTGGCTACCAACGCGATTTGACGCAAACGTGTAGGAGCTGGCGCAAGACTCATACTGGCTTTGTTCTTCTTCACGACAAACGACTGAAGTGTTACAAACACAGGCGACTTATCGCTATATCACAGCGACATAGCCGGTCGCATGATGATTGGTAAACGCTTGCTCGGAATATTCGGCTTACGCTGTTCCCCGCATTCGCCTCGGCATTGCGACATTATTCAGTTTGCTGTATGTTACACACGTGGTATTCGTGTATGGTCAATTGCTCTTAAGTGGAGGACTACTGCTAATCTTGATAGTGGAGTATACATATGAACTGTGAAGGCGACGACAAGGCGAAAGCGCCGCACTGAGGTGCTGCTCGGACGCGACTAGTCACCATCGGCGATTCGGCCCGATGCTTTCGTCTGACCCACAATAACACCACTCCACGTCTTCAACGTCCAACAACGTAAAACCTCACAACACCAACGCAAAAGATCATCACTCGGGCAAGCATCAGATTACAGAAGTCGATACAGAGTTCTGTATTACAGATTCAGCGCCACGATAACATATGGCGCTCTTCAATGGCTAGCCTGCCAATCTCACCATCATCTTCTTACGGCAGTGCTACCACTTCTCGGCCAACGTTGTTCTTACTTCTACAGAATGACCCAGCACAGTAGAACGAATGATTTTTATTTGGCCTAGAAGAAATAATAGCGCGACAAAACGTCCTAGACAGTACACCAGCATCTGTGCCTGTCCAGGCTATGTCAAAGCCTGAACTCGCAAATTCCTTGTACTGCGGAATCCACTTCTTATCACGCCTCCACTCCAAGAGACTATATATGCAAACTCGAAACTTCTACCCAGTCTCTAGGTGCTGTGTTTTTCTAGGCCTCACGAGTTCTCACTTGACCACAGCGACCTGAGGTAGCGCCACCATATATTTGCCTAAAGCGACGACATCCACTTTGGCAACTACAATCGACTACAGCACAAACACGGGGAACAGAAAGAAAGTATACAGGCAGCAAAGCGGAGATGACTCTTGTCTTCCTATTCCTCACCTCCCCCTAACTCTTTTTATGGTATCTTGGAATACAAACTACAGCCTTTCTGAAAAACTGACTAACATCATGCACTCACCACAAGTATACAGCGAGTGATGGCATGTATCACTGAGGATCTTCTGTCTATCGAAAATCCAGCTTCCCTCGCCATGAGACTCTTCACATCCGTGCATTGCAGTTGATCGTCATCACCGATAATTTACACAGCATAGCGAAGGTGTCGCATTCTCTTATTCTCGTCGCGGATGTCGACACGCCCTAATCACAAACTTCTTCCGGTTCACTTCGAAACGAAATTATTGCGCTTTGACAAGCCTGTTGAACAGAATTGCCACACGCGCCAAATACCCGCAGAAAGGGAACGCAATTAACAATAACTCGACAATCGTCGAACGTGGTTCACTTTCACTTCTTGAAGGAAAAATCTTTCGCCACTCCAGGTCACCCACCTGATCTGCTATTGTGCAAAGCGCCAGCCGCTCACGCACCATCAATTGAGGGCGGCCGCAGCGCAGGCTCTACATCATGCACGCAGCGCAATGTCCTACCAGTGCGCGCGCGAAAAAGGTACTCTACACGTGATCAGACCTATCAGGGTCCTGTACGCGCCTCGTTGCGACCCAGTCGCACCCTGAACTCAGCTTCACTTGGAGTTTGCTCTCTCGGATAATGCAAGCATGTGACGGTTTCGCTGCCTATGTACGCGTTTCAGCATCACGTAGTCATAGGACCCTGGCGATACTCTCATTCAACCTCGATTTGTCTGCCTGACCTTCTAGTCGTTCCTTCTTTCTTTATAAACCTGCTCTCACGACCTTCCTTTCTTTCTCTTCTAACCTCTTCTTCCTCGCCTTTGGCTTTGAGGCAAGCAACTCTTCCTCTACATTGTCTGATTTTCCTCTGCTCAACTCTATCGCTCTGTAGAACATTGAGTAAGTACTTGTGTCCGCTTATTCGCTGTTTCCTTCTCTGCTGCGCGCTGCTCTGGGGAAGTAGTCTTATGACTTTGTAGCGGGTAGTCCAGACGTGTACCTTTCTTCTCTTCGAGTGCTCTCTCGAAACGTGGACCCTGAAATCTTCTATCGGTATCATGGACAAAATCGCCATGTACAACTCCGCAACTTCGAGGCGTATGACGCGTTCTCAAGCTACTGCCGCTTCTAGTTCCGTTTCTCGTTCCACCGCGTCTTCCTCGGCCACTCCCCCCACGGCTCCTATAGCAATTCGCGCTACCACTGGTCGACCGATTGCCGCACTTCCCATCGTTTCTGTACCAACTCTTGCGACTCCAACTTCTCCAGCGGCCCGTACCGCGGCTCTGCCGTTCCCCATTATCAGGAAGTCCGCCACCAAGAAGCGGAGACAAGATTTCGACATTTTCGTAGACGACACCACAACATATCTCCCAACACCAGCATCGCCCCCAGCCACACCCAACGTGCGCACTCCACTAGGCGTCAGGACCGCCAACTTGACGCCTCTGCCACCCTCTCGTCTCCCCGACACGCCATTCACATTCTCACAGTCCGACCCCAACTGGGAGGACATTGAAAACTACACGCCCTGGTACCTAACTCCACCACACACCCCTCGCACGCACACCCTCGCACGCACCCCTCCCGTCGGCCCTTCCCCCCAGCCCTCCCCCCTCGCAAACCGTCTCCGTCTCCGTCCCCGCAGGGCCAAGACCTCCGCCGAACTCCCCGCCCCGGTCAACGTGGCCGCGTACCACATCTTGGATATCGAGGACTGGAAGGTCTGTGCTAACACTATCAAGACGGCGTACAGGGTTGCTGCTCTCCTTGCGCATCCTGATAAGGCTGCTACGACTGAGGAGAAAACGGAGGCTACGGCACTGATGCAGCGCATCAACGCTGCCAAGGATATGCTGGTTAACAGCAGTGCTCGTCGCCAGTACCATAGGGATGGCAAGGTGCCGTGGGAGGTGTAGTGGGGGTCTGGTTTGGTTGAGGGGGTTGGTTTGGGGTTGCTGAGATGTTGGGTTATGCATTACTTCCGGCTTTGACCTCATGGGGGATGGTATACTTGCACATATCATGCCAGTGCAAGCGGATAACACATACTAGCCACGCCTACCATGTGTCAACCAGATGGATGGAAAAGTTTTTCCTTTTTTCCGTTTCTTTTCTTTTTTTCATGATTAACGTACCGAGTTGCAAACAACTACTACAAAAGAGTAGTTTTAAGTTTAACGAGTTGATGATACCACGATGGGTAATACAGCTATACCTACTACAGTATGGACTGGAATGCAGTTATGATTTTCTGATTCTGTTGTGGATGTGAATTAGGCTTGTTGTGTGTGTGTGATGAGGTTGGAGGTTGGAGGTTGTGTGAGGATGACTAATTAGTACATGCAGTCGGAGAACTACTAAACCACACCACACCACATCATCATAAAACCAACACGCGGAAATGAGTGAAGATTGTCTTATTTTATTTTTACTTTCTTTATTTGCTTATTTGTTGCCTGTTGCCTAGATGCTTTCCTTTGCTTTCCATTCCTTTCCTTTCCTTCCTTTCCGCCGCACACACATACGTGTGCCATGTACATATATGTTTAAAAACTCCGTATAAAATGCTACACTTACTTGACGCACTTACGCTAGATTTCATAAATCGACTTGAAATGTTTCGTATCTTCATCACCACATCACCGTAACCCCAACCCCAACCCCAACCCCCTCCCTCTCAATCCTCCCCCTCAATACCCCTCCGTCCTAATCCTAACATAACTATCCGCATTACTAACATAACCCCTAAAACTCGGTCCGACGCTCCAATTCTCCAGCGTACGCACCGCCTCCTTGGCCTTGTCACAAAGATCAAGCTGACCAGTTTCCTCGTTTGCGACGAGAGCTTCTCCCGTGCTAAAGGACCAGTCGCATTGGATGTTTATGCTCATGTCCATGAGCCATTCCATGCGTTCCTGCATGGCGGGGATTTGGACAGCGAGTTCGCGAAAAGCGGGCCAGACGATGAAGTCGACGATTTTGATGTGTGGCATGAGGAGTTGGTTGGGCGTGGGGCGCAGCCATTCGGGGATAGCGGCGTAGGTCGTGGGTGAGGGGGATATCATCCAGCGCATTAGGTACCAGAATATGTACATGGCGCCGAAGCAGGTGAATGTGTTGCCTTGTATATGTTAGGAGGGTGAGCTGGGATTTGGGGGGGTCGGGATACTTGCCTTTGAGACATACACCGTGCACCATGCCGACTGCCCATTTGGAAAGTATACCGGAATTGTTGAATACGTCCTCGTCGAAGAGGGCGGCAATGTTGGGGTGAGGTTCGAGTACCTCGCTCAGCGGTCGTCCCATTTGGATCATGTGGACAGCTTCTCGTAGCATATTTGGAATCGCACCCCGCAATGAGCCGGGGTCAGATATGGTATTGATAGGCAACATGGCCCACGTGGGAAGATAAAAGTCATTACTGTTTGTGTCTTGATTATCGGCAGGGTAGCCAGTGGACATGAAGCGATTGGAGAAGGACATGTTGTTACCGAATATGTGGCCGATGTCTAGGTTGTGATGTACCCTGACGGCGTTGACGATGGGCTGACGACCAGCGAGGTGGGTAGGGTATATTGATCGAAAGGTATGCTGCCTATGCGGCGACGGCCTTTGGCTGCAGGGATACACATTGGACGAGGATGCGGGGGCACCAGTAACGTCGAAGGTCGATTTGTGCTGTAAGAGCCGCGGGTCAATTCGTCTGTCCTCTGGGTCGTCATCTTCCTCACTTTCCCCATCAAGTATTTCTTTGGCAAGAAGGTAGTCTTCTCGGTCAAATAGCGGAGCTAAGAAAGCTTGTTCTGACGCAGAAGCTCCGGATGGTGTCTGCTTTCCTTTAGCTAAAGGTGGAAATGAGGCGGACGAGATACTTGCCGCAGGCGACCATCCGGCAGTCTGGCTCGTAGGCGATGTGATTGAAACGGCAGAGTTCTGGGGGAACTTTTGCGTGGCTTTGCTCATATCGTAAGCTGATTCATGACTCATTCCACTTCCCGAGGTGTCGGTGGACTCCTGACCTAGTAAGCTGATTGCGGGTGTTAATTTGCTGCACCAATGGTAAGCTGTAGTCGAGATCATACCTGGGAGGCTGCCCGGATGTGGCTGGAGATGCTGTCATTGGTAGGGACTTTGCAACATCTTCGGGGGATTCACCCAGTCTTAGTCTCGCAAGAACGGCCGCGGCGTGGTCGTCGGTGCCAGAGCGCAGAGAAGTGATGATGCGCTTCAAATCATCCAGCTCGCCCGTGATGCTGTCCCGCTTCATGATCTTCATTCGCTCTGCTCTAGAGACGCCTTCGGCAACATCATATTGACATGTGAGGTCGTTGTCGTTGCACCTGTTGCACCTGGGCCTAGTGCCGTCACACTGTGAGAGGTGGGTTAGTTATTTTCGAGAGGGGTTTGGGGTCGACAGAGAGGGCGGACGTAGGGTGTATCAGTTCCAGTGAGTATCCATGCAAGATCTGGGCAGAAAGTTGGAAGACATGTGATGCAAAAGGCCCAATACTTGGCATTGGCTCTCAGCATCACATGGTGCTCAGCAGCTGTGCAAAGTACTTGCAGGTGCCCGACATCTCGCAAGCTAGGGGCAACGTGGTGCTACGTACCTTGGCCTTGCCATTCCGACATTGCACACAGGCTACAGCAACGGCCTGGCGTCGCTTCCGCCTGTCTGGTGCTGGGCGTCGCTGTCCGGGCTCGTCTGATGCTGGGGCGATACTTTGCCATCGCTCTGAAGACTCCATGCCGCGGATTTCGAGATGGATGGCTGAAACACCGCTCACAGAGAGACCCAAGGCGGTGGTGGAGCCCGCGGAGATTCGGCAGCCCGTTGGCGGGCGTCGATGGACGTGTTGGAGGCGGCGCTTTTCAAATTGAAGGTACAGATGTCTGGTACCGTAGCATCGAGAGCGTTTCGCCACGCTCTATCGCAAAGGCAAAAAACAGTCGGCTGGCCGCAGCTACCCTGGTCTGGAGTCGCTGGAGAGAAGGCATTTGCAACTGGGATAGCGCTCTCGGAGCAAATGGCCGACGAGAGACATGTCCCGGGCACAGCTTCCTAGCCAATGAGACGCAGGCCGGCCTCATCTCACGTGCACTAGGTAGCGATGCAGCATGGCAGTTGGGAGAGACATTTCCACTGACATATGGCAGACGTCGCAAGCGCATGAGGTCGGATGGCAAAGATACGGTTCCCGGCGGAGGTGAGATGCTAGTCTCGGCGGCACACGCGTGGCGATGCAGGTTCCAGGTGTGCGCTTTAGGGTTCCAGACCAGATCTCAGCCGCCCTGTGAGGCTCAACCGGCGTGGAAGACGGTCGGGATTCATTGGGCAGCGCCTGTGCAGCGAGAGTGGAGGTGGCGGTGCGCCATTACAGACTGTGCGCCTTGTGCGGGTTACGCATTACAAGCGAGCCTGGACGAGTTTCTCTCCCGTCCAGTTGTGACGTCGTGCCATTCAAACAACCTTCTCTTTTAAAAATCCCCGACGCTCATCTTCTGCACTTTTGATTGGGCCAGTCGCCACACCCGGTCCCATTGGTGTCGCGGATTCCAGCATCTTGGAGAATCTTCGAGAACAGTCGATGGCGCAGCAGGAAAGGAAATTTCTGGATCCGTGTGGCAGAGCTGAGCTGACAGTGCGGTTCAAATAAAGCAGCTGCGATGATGTCACCGCCCGGAATGTGCCACAATGACAGCGTTTGCAGGCCCAGGGCCCCTTTACATGGCGCAAATCATTCAATTCGATCGACGTGGCTTTCACGCGCGCTACTCTCATCGGCTCCTTTTGTGTGATCGGCCTGTGAATACTGCCGTGGCTTCCCACGGCGACGGTATTGCACCCAGCTCGGCTTTAACCGCACCATTTTCCGAGCGTGTGCGTCATTGTCCGGTCGCGAACATGCGACCATCGGCCCAGACGTCCACGTCTCGCCAGGCCTCGCTGATGGTTTAGAGCAGAATGCTGACATTATTATCGCATCTTTGCACAGTATACTCGCTGCCAAGTCTGCAAGTTTGCTTGCGAGGAATGGAATAACGGCAATTCCGTAGTGTCTAGAAGCGCCTGCGCACCACTTTTATACGCCAAGCCACCCCAGCATGTAAAAACCGGACCTCGCGCCTGTGAGTCGTATCTTTTCCTTTCGGCTGCTAACACAGACCAGGCACGGTTTTACCAAGACGGCGTCTCTCGGTCGCGTCCCTTGTTGCTATCATCTCCATATCCCGGCCATGGCCAAAGTGCCAAGACGCCTCCCGCTCCGAACCTCGCTGGTCGCATAGAGAAAGTCCGAATGGTCCGGTTTGGAACTCTGATATCGAACGCGCACCTAGCGTGGGGGTCATTTGGGTGGAATCACGAGACCACTTCGGCAGCATCAACACGACCCTGCTGCTAGAAATTACCGTACTGATATTTGCATGTGAGAGCCACGGACGATAGTTACAGAGCAGTCTGCTTCAAACTTTTCTAGTCTCTACCTTCCACGAGCATTGTGCTAAGTATGCCAAACTGATCTTAACAACAACCACGCAGATTTTCAATTTATTCGTAAAATATTTCCTCTCTACATGGGGTATTGTACAGTTCTCTGAACCCTCCTAAACACCGCGCTGTAAATAAAGACTCATCCGCCCACATCATACATCTTCTGGTGATCCTTGAACGTAATCTCTGTCCAGTTCCAGCACGATCCCACAGACCGACTCAAACTTTGCCGCGCGTGGTGCTATCCGAGGAGCTGGCGTTGGCAAGTGCTGGGAAGCAGTATCCGGGGTGGAAGATCGTCAGAGCTGCGACAGCGATAGCAATCATGACACCTTCCAGGATGATAAAGTCAAACTCCTCGCGCATCAACTCGCTTCTCCAACCGCCGGTAAGTTCAGGAATACGATATATGCATCGAGAAAAAATGGTGGAGAAAGCGATTAGAACAGCGAAGACGAACCCTCTGAACTTCTTAGACCGCAGAAGCGACATGGCCTCTGGAGAAACCTCGTCACGATGGCGGCAAGTGCGAACCGCGTATTCAGCAAGAAGTAGCCCAAAGACAGCCAGTGTAAAGACCTGAAAAACGACACCAGCAATCATAACGTCCGTGCCCTGGTCCTGCAGTTCACTCCCAAAGTCCGAAGATGCAGCGATGCCACCCCCAGCGCCCTGCAGAATAAGCGACGTGACATCACCAACGATGAAGACATACGTATACATCCCCGGCCGCAGACGCGACCACGACTCTCCAAAGTTGAGCACAAGATGCTTCAGCGTGACGTAGATGCCAGCCGAGACAAAAGCGGGAGCGATGATCAGACAGCATATCTGCATTTGGAAACCGGCTTCTGTGAAGGGATTGTCGTTCATCATGATGCGACCGATGTAGCCCAGTACCTCGCACAAGCAACCGAGACTTATAGCCATCTATATATGTGGTATTAGAAACTCGTTCTTACGTCTCTTGGGGGTGAACTTACAGAGTACATCCATGTCTTGTATCGAAGACACAAGGCTAGTTGGGCGATACCGAAGACGCCGAAGAAAGCCGCGAAGAAAATGTTGACGGAGAGGTTGGGGTAGTATCCTAATATCGTGCCCTCGACTGGACAGGCGGGGCTGACTTCTGTGCAAAAGGCAGGGGCAGGGGGTGGGACGGTCATTGTGGTGGTGGTGGTGGTGGTGGTGGTGTAGTAAGCCGCGTCTGGTACACAAGTTGTGGGAGAAAGGCGAATGATATGTGTGGCCACTGTACTAAGGATATGTAGAGACTCGGTTGCACTTGCGATGAGACGAGAAATTGTTGACGACCCATCCTTATAAGACCCATATCCACCATCTCTACCTCCCCGTCAAGCCGCGTCGTCGTATTCACCCTACCATACCAACCAGCACTAATCCCGAAAAGGCTCTAGATGCGAGATCCGACATGTCTGCAGGGCGCGCGCATGTTTAAACGCTGTTCATTACACAGGAATCATTTACTTCCATCCTAGAGATTCGTACCACAAGTAGCTTAGTGCTGATGGTATCGGTGCGCCAAGACTTCCGAGGGTGAAGAGGACGAAAGCCAGGGTTTTCTGCGTCATGTAGGTTAGAACGGGCGGAGCAACTTTATAACCGTTTGATGTCGGAGCGCGAAATGGCCGATGTTAGTTTTCATGCGTCTACCTTCCGTTGGCATAGGCGTGGGGTTTGTTGAGACGGCACCTTGAAGGCGGGATTGCGGGACATTGATCTTGGAGGGTATGTAACGTTGAAGTACAAAGAGCCCGGAGCTTGGGTAGACGATAAGCGAGATGCGACGATATAGCAGGCGCACTACGTATAGTGAAACAGTCTGTCGCATATCTCTGAAGCTCTCTTAGGCGTTCAAGGACACAGTTATGTGCTGGTTGTTTGACGTGACAATGCCGATCAGACCAACCTCATCAGCGTGAGCACCTGAAGAAGAAGTCTGACCTTATGATGTCACTAAAGGAGACAGGCCGTCAAGCGACAAGTATCTTTTCGCGTTCTCCAGGTGGTGGTAGTGATGATGAGCGCTCGGTGTGTTTATCGTCCCGACCGTAGTTACCGCAGTGGTTCCAAGGTGTCCGTCCCTCGTACGTAGTCAATGCTAATTTTAACTAGAATCTTCGTCCGATCGCGGTACCGATGCTCCTTTAAGCGCGAGATGCAGGGGCCCGCTGCAATCATTTTCGTACCGCACGTGCTTGGTGTAGTTTACCCTGAGGTCATCGTCGCTGGTGAAGAGCTCGGCGCTTCGGCATTCGCGTCCCGGGGTCTGTTCCCCAACTTCGACTCTGTCAGCGAGCTTCTCTTCTCTTATCACGACTAACCCCACCTTCGACCTGGACCGCTGACTTGAAGAACTACTGATATACGCTCAGTCGCACAGCCTGAAATTAGTTCATGATCTAAACACCAAGTCTGCATGCGTTCGCTCCTCTGCGGGATGAAACGGTGAACCTACTCTCGTCCCGCAATGGGGCCAGTACGTTACCTCAAAAGAAAAGAAGAGAAAAGGAGCATCAAAAGACCTACCCGCCGTCACCCTTTTTTTATTAAATCAAGTCTTAAGGAGAGAGGACGCCTGGTTTTTGCCATGCGATAATTGTTAATCGTCGATTGCTTGCTCCTCCTTCAACTAACATCAATGCGGCAGGAGCTGGGATGAAATATACGTGTCGCTGCACTTTTTCGTTTATTGTAACTCAGCCCGCGGAATTATTCTCATCCTTGCTAGTACATACCACGTTTCTTTGGCATTCAGGGGCAAGCGTAAGTAGGTAAAGAAACACCCGAGACAGCCATGTTCAGCCCTGCTCTAGTTAGTGCCGGGCTTAAGGTGCCCAGAACCCCGGTTCGTGTACCGGTGGCAGAATTGACATGAGCACGACTTTCTCGCAAGCAATTGTGTGGGACTTGTCATCAAAGTCAAAACTGACGTCGCAAAAGGTTTATTTCAGAACTGCCGAGACTGCTGTGTCCTCCACTCAATCTAGGGTTCACCTCACCTCCCCTTTGAATGATGATTCCTATTTCACACACGTCCCATCAATCAAGCTTTGGCACGACCATAACAGCGAAGTTTATTTCCGACCAATCATCCAACCTGAGGCATCACCCACGCAGCCATTGTGGCTGAATGAAAGTACCTGGTACCTTAGTTCAATTTTCTATTCTGCAAACCCATCCATATGCGGGAATACGCCAGGAATACGCTGTGAAACATCGGCTCTCCTACAACATGTCCGAAAGCCTGATAAGCGAGTAAAGCCATGCCGGTACAGGGTACACGTCAAAGTTTCCGAGAGATCGTCATGGATTCTGGCTTGAACCACGCTGCTACTAGTCCATGCTGGGTTTAGATACGCTAGTACCATGCACGCCACCTATGTCTTCAATTCTTTTGGAAAGCCCAGCGTGTGTGTGTGTACCACGTTGTGACAAGGAAGGAGGGTCCAGATATGCTCAGTCGCCCGCTCGAACATGTAGCCCTAGAGTCTTTTTTTTTCCTTGGTCTGTATGCACACGTTTGGAAGCCTGAAAGAATGATCCAGGAACTTTTGTATTCCGTAGCGAGCAAGAGCTTCCGCATTGCCGCTCGCTAGCTAAGTTACCGAGATTGGCGAACCGATTGCTGAAATATGTGACGGCCTCGAGCGTTTCGGGTATTGTCTAGCACAGACACAACCGCTCCTTGTTTGGGCATGGCGGTTGATTAAACCCCGTAGATCAACACACCCCCCTTCACGAAAAGGGTCGGATGAACGCGTACCTATACTGACTTGCCCAGAATGGTCCCAGCTCCACAGGTCAAATACGTCAGGCATGTCTTGCGGTAAGCCGTCGTTTCGGTACTTAAATACCTCGACTGTCATCTTTTCGTCAGTTTGTCTCATTCTTTCGTACTACAATCTTGGTTCCTCGCAAGCAAAATGTTGGGTCTACCTCGTGTACTCCTGTTTTCAGTATATGCTACCCTGGCGTATGCAAAGACAGTCACATACGACTTTAGTGTAGGATATGTAACGGTACGCCCTTCAACTCCTTCACTTCCCTAAAAGTAGCAAGAGACTGACGTACGATAGGCTGCTCCCGATGGCTTCACACGTCAAGTAATTGGAATCAATGGACAATGGCCTATCCCTACCATCGAGTGCGATGAAGGCGATACAGTACAAGTTACCGTCCACAACAACCTTCCAGACCAAACCACATCTCTGCATTTCCACGGCATGTTCCAGACCGGCACCCAGGTTTACGACGGTGCCAGTGGCATCGGCCAATGCCCTATCCAACCCGGACAGTCGTTTACCTACACATTCATTGCGAATCCTGCTGGAACGCACTGGTACCACTCACACGAGAAGGGCCAGTACCCCGATGGACTCAGGGGGAAAATGATTGTTCACGATCGGGCTTGGGAAAGCAGCCTCGACATCGATCAACAGATTTATCTGTCCATGTCCGACTGGTGAGTACGAAGATAACAATTATCTGCAACCGCGCTTACAATCCCATAGGTACCATCGTACAGTACCGGAAATGATTGAAGATTACCTGAGTCCAGATAACACCGACGGCGACTTTGATTCACCGGACAGTTTCCTCTTCAACGACACCAACCAGCCTTTTGACTTGAAATTCACAGAAGGCGAGACGTACTTACTTCGTATCGTCAACACGGCCGCCGTGGCATGCGGCCAGTTCCACATCGAAGGCTACACCCTAACCGTCGTCGAAGCCGACGGCGTACAGATGGTGCCCAAAAAAGCCGACACCATCATCCTCTGCGCAGGCCAAAGCTACGGCGTCATCGTCACGGGCAAAAAGAACCCCATGGGTGCATCCAACTGGATCGCGCAAATGCGAACGGATATGCTCACACGGCCCGCGCCCCCACTCGCCTCCCGCACCATCATTGGAAAGCTCGTCTACAGCCTCACCGACCTCCTCGGCCACCTAATCGGCGGCCTCTTGACAAACATAATCCACTCGCTGACGCCGACCTGGACACCCACCAGCACGCTCGACGACTTCACTCTGCGGCCACTTGACGGCCAGAAACTGCTGTCCCCCGTCGACAACAACATAGAATTCACAACCAACCAGACATATTTCGAGGGCATCGGAACGCGAACACCGCTTAATGCTCAGCCTTGGGTTCCACCACAGGTACCTTCCCTTTACACGGCACTCACAACCGGTAGTCTGGACCCCGCGACCTACGGCCCAGGCGTAAACCCCTGGATCATCCGCTCCGGTCAAATCGTCCAGATACACATGCAAAACCCACATGCTTACCCACATCCCATGCACCTCCACGGCCACGTCTTTCAAGTCGTCGCTTCAGGCGCCGGGACGTGGGACGGCATCGAATCCAATCTTCCAGCCGTGCCCGTCAAACGCGACGGCCACGTTGTTCCAGCGAATGGGTACGCGGTTATTCGCTTTAGGGCTGATAACCCTGGTGTGTGGTTTTTTCATTGCCATATTGATTTACATCTTGTGGGCGGCATGGCGGCGACGATTGTCGAGTCGCCGGATTTACTCCGAGCGAATGTGCCAGAGGCGGGCGTGAAGCTTTGTGAGAAGGGCGGGTTCAAGGCGGGTGGGAATTGTGCGGGGGGTGTGGGGGGGATTTCTGCCGTGGAGGCGGGGGTCAAGTGTAATAATGTTTTTAATACTAGGGTTGGGAGTGCGAAGGTGGGGTCATCAGGGAGGAACTGACGGAAAGAAGAGGCGATGGGGGAGGGACGGTTTTTTTGACGATTTTCCTTTTTTGTTGTTTCTGAATGTGGAGTGAATGGTTTTTTTCACGTTTCACGGTTAGTTTTTTTCTTTTTCATTTTATGATAACCCCTTTTGTTTGGAGAGACGAAGATGAGTTTTTTTTAATTTCATGAAAATAAAGAGAAGATATTGTTTTCGTGTCTTTCCTACTGTACCCAGGAAATACGCCATCATCATTACTGTCGTCGTCGACATATCATCCTAATACCTCCACTCAATGACCCCTCCCACACCCACACCCCTTCTGCCCAACCCTCTTCTTCCAGCTCCAGCTCAACTCGGGCGCCGCCGCCATCTTCTGCATACTAACCACATCCGTGTCGTGCCAGCCCTTGTCCAACATGCTCATTTCGACACTAAGCTTCGCATACTTGATGGCCTCCCACCTCATGCCAAAGCTACTATACACCTCAGCTGCGTACTGATACGCAACGCCGAGATTAGCATCCAAACGTTCCTGCTTATACAGGCTGATGATTAGCTCGCCCACCTCGGGGGAGGCATTCGACTTCTCCGTGTAGTCATTAAGGACCTCCATGAGCGTAGCGATTTGTGTGACACGCGCATCGGACTCTGCAACGAGCGCAGAGTGCGCCGTACAAGCCGAGCAAGCGCATTTGAAACCCCAGTTCTTGTGTAACCCCTTGACGCGATTATCGCGCAGACTCTCGTTATTGATATACGTGATTGTGATTTCCTCACCCGGGTAAATCGTACGTGTAGCGTGCACGAAATGCGTCATAGTTTTTTCGTCGAAGAAGTACGCGGCGTTGGGCCGGCAGTCGTGGTTGAGCATGGCGATTTCGGGGAAGAGGCCGGATTGCGAGACGTCGTCGATGACGAGCTCGAAGTTGTTGGTGGTGATGCGGTCGTCGACTTCGTCGTCGTCGGCGCTGCGGCCCATGAGTTTCCAGAAGAGCGTTTGCGTTGCGGGGGGCAGGGTGGCGACGCCGCGGTGGAAGAGGGCGAGGCGTTCGGGCTCGGCGAGTTGGTGGAGGTCCGGGTCGGTGATGAGGATTGGGGTGGAGGCGAAAAGTTGGTCGCCTGGGTGGAGCGTCTTGTTTGCGACGAGGCCGCGGCCTTTACCGGGGAACTCGTGTTGGTAGAATGGTGGGTTCTCGTACTTATTTGAGCGCTCGAGTGCTGTCTCTGGTTTGGTGAAGGCGTCCTTTTCGCGCATGGCGTAGGCTAGGGGTTGCGTGGTGACGATGAAGATGCCTCGTCCATTTGCAAAGTTCTGGTCGGTGAACAGGCAGAATGGCTCTGGTGTGTCTTCGTTGGCAAAGCACTCGGGCCAGAATGTCCAAGGAAAGTCGTGCTCTGCTGATGCCTTCTTCCGTGACTCTTCCACCGTATATACCAGTGGGGCGATACGCGAGGATTGTGTTGCGTTGGATTGGAATGGTACGAGGTCTGGAGTCACACTCCCGTATATCGCCGGCATACATTTGCCGTTGTATAAACTCGAATCTAATGGGCACGAATCTGCCATCAGCGGTTTCTGTGCTACGACATGGACCTTGTCGCTTGATAATGCTGTCGCTCCTCCGAGCAAGCCAAGACCGATTGCGGACCTCATGTTGAAAAATGTTGATAAACAATTGCTGATGTGTAAGTCGTGATGCAAAAGTGATAATAAAATGGGGACTCCCTTCTCTTTCTTAATGTGTCGGTCAAGATATTCCAGTAGTCCAGACTGTCGCTATGAAACGCGACTTGAGTGTGAAGCAGTAGATGAAACGTGGGCCCCGAAACCTACCGTCTGTCGCTCTACATTTATAAAGCCCTAGCAGCTATACGCGATTTCCCTGCGACAGTTCGGGTATGACGACTACATACTTTACGGGGAAGCGGGATACTAGACCTCATCGCGGCAGTGACATTTGGAGTTGGTGCCAGACGGCCTTAAAGGTTGACTGTCACTCCGGCCTTGCATGATTGACTGTCAATCAAAAGAACATCATATCGAGATAAATTTCTCTGATTTCGAATGTGAATCTGTTGAGCCTTGATGTAGTCGAATACAAGCAAAAATCACGATGGTGCAGGCCAGGATGTCGACGTGCGGAGGTGAAGATACAAGTGCGGGGAGTCGCGGAACTACCGTAAGCTAACAGGGGCATGTGCACGAATCGTTTCCGCGACTGAAACAAAAGACGCGTTGCACCCAAGACCAGGCCTACGCGGCCGTTTACAACATCGAGCAATCACGAGCAAGTGTCAGCCTAACGTACTCTGGATGTTTGCAATCGCCTCTTAGGCTCGAAATTCAGGTTAACTAGCTTTCTTCACGTGCTGCGTGCAAGACTGAGCACCTACATGGTTCAATCAGTACTCCATGGCATCCTCAAATAGACCCCGCAACTGCTCCCTCTCCGCATCAATGTTTTGCATATCCAAACTCGGCGCCAGCATCAGTACTCTTGCCTGCGGAATCGTGCCCTCGACCAGCTGATCCAAATGCTCCTTGCCGAAACCAAGGGCCTTCAAACCTCGCGGTTGATCACCAAGTTTGATCAAGAACTCTGCCAGCGCTTCGCTCAACACCTCTCCTGCGCTCTCCGCCTTTACGTTGGAAATGTCCACGCCGAATGCCTCGGCTGCCGCTAGATGTCGCTCCGGGTTAGATGCGCCGGTGAACTTGAATACCGCCGGTGCGGTGACGGCGACACTAACGCCATGGGGAATGATGGTGTGGTCAACATCATAGCCTGCATGCTTGTAACCGGGATTCTGGCCGGAGATGGGGTATGACATGCCGTGGCAGAGATGCACACCTGCGTTACCAAAACCAACACCGGCAAGGGTTGCAGCCAGCAACATTTGAGATTGCGCTTCGTGGTCCTCGGGGTCTTTGACGGCGCGAGGCAGATACTTGACTGTGTCTTTTAGTGCCTTTAGAGAGAAGATGTCGGAAATGGGATTCGCGCCCTGGTATGCTGGACGGTTGATGGGGTTTGTCGGCCGTGGAGTACGCTCGTAGTAGGGGATGGCAGTCCATGATTCGAGCGAATGGCAGAGTACGTCGAGACCAGAAGATGCGTGAACAGCTGACGGCATGGTACGTGTGTTTAGGGGATCGACTATGCCCAGAGTAGGCTTCAAGTTGCGATGTGCGATACCAGTCTTTGCACGTTTCGAAACGAGGTCAAAAATGGCGGTACCGGTTGTCTCAGATCCAGTGCCTGCCGTTGTCGGTACTGCAATGAGCGGGAAGAGCTTGGATGGAATGGGCAGCCCCTTGCCTAGAGGCGCGTTGACAAAGTCCAAGAATTCTGCCTCGGGGAACGTGGTATACAGATTCATCAGCTTGGCTGTGTCAATCACACTGCCACCACCAACAGCGAGGTAGGCGTCTGGTTTCCATGGCTTCGCAAAATCAATCGCCTCTTTTATGCTGTGGTCCTTTGGCTCCACTCTGACCTTGTCAAAGATCTCGTATGTCACACCTTCCCTCTCCAGTCCTTCAATGACCTGCTTCATCGCATCCAGTTTCCTCACGTTTGGGTCGGTAACGACCATGACGCGCTTGCTGCCCATGTTCTTAAAGTCCATGCCGACCTCCTTTGTACATCCTGGCCCGAAACGTATGCTAGACGCCGCCATTTCAAATGCATATTCCTTCTGTTGGAATTGATCGAGCGGCGTTGCAAGGTGTCGGCGGGCTTGTTGGACAGTGGAGGGTGATTGGTGGTAGTTGGGATTCGAGTGGCACGGGCATGATGGCGGATGTGTGTATTGAACGGTGCGAAGTAAATTGAGAGCACGTGCTGCACGTGAGGGTGCTATGCGAATTGCTGTCGTTATCGCCATAGCGTAGAGTTGTAAAGGTATGCTTGTCGGACGTGTGGAGAAATGCGGGGTACCGCCTATATGTACCGATATAACTACAGGTGACGATCAGATAACCCTAACTGGTGGAGTCCGAGATGTTGGAAATCCAGAGTATATAAACTGTCGACTGACAGCTCTTGCACTTCTTTGCAGGGGAGCGGTAAGCGTGAATGAGGCCGTTCCCCAACTCTCATGCTTAGTTCACCGCAGCTCGACCTCGGCTGGCAGCTGGACTATACTGCATTCGGTATACCGAGATGTGGGGTAAACGGAAACATCGTCCAAAGTCAGATCGGAGATATTCTCGCCCCATATTTGCCTCCAAATGCCTCCTCTATTTGCGTCTACGGCGCCGATGCTGTTTGGAGAATCTACGCAAATAAACGGATATCAAAGGGTCGCAGTATTACCCTCCTACGCACCGAACCTCTCCTGCATTCCTTCCGACATGAGCAAGCTAGCATCATCATCATCATCATCATCGTCAAATTATACTACTTTGTACGACTGATGCTCTTCGCATCCAAAATGAAGAGAGCGCAGATATATCAGCAAGTTGAGGCAATCAATTGAGGATGGGGTTGGGGTCGCCAACCTCCTGCACGGCATCCAACCTCGCCCTGAGACACGGTCGATAGAGTAGATGATCGTGAACGCGCGCGCTTACGACTTTAGGTTTAGCCTCTCGTACTTTCTATCTGGGGAGGCCATGTCTGGTCAGTTTTAAAGCTAGTTGTACTGTAGAGTCTGCTGTCTTCAATGGCAGTTCTTACGCGCCCGGCATTAAGGTACAGGCGACACAGTTTGCGGATGCGTCTCTGCTTAGGTAGCTATGTCATCCGAATGGATTACAACAAGACGGCAAAATGTCACCGCCTATTGGCATGGTATCATGGTCGCGCCGGGCTTACAAGGCGTCCCCTGCTTGGCGGCCCCCAGGGCGGCCACTCAGTTCGCCAAGGGCGCTCGCAGAGCTTGGCCCCTGCCGTCTCCTCTACATTCATTGGCGCCTGCGTAACCGCCCTCAGAGTTGTCTCCATCACACCGAATTTTATCAACATGTTCCCGGACAGGTTAAATTGCAACACTCCTCCATCGTCTTAGTCATATCTTCCATGATAAACTCTATTCTTAACCGAAGAGATGGAAGCGGCTACACATGTCTGTCGATGGGACGATGAATGCGGCATTGGGGGTTTATCAATTGAGTTCCAAAGCCTAGCAAATACCAACAGGTCCTGTTACACAACTTTCGCACTTCGTGGTATTCCACCAACTGTTCCTTGTCAATCTTAATACCCGTGACGCCTGCGAGCAGAAGCAATGCTGTGCGCCCACGGCTGTTGTGGTCTCTTAGTCGCAACCAATAGCAGTCATCTCTTACGACGCCAATCAAAACACTATGGCTGACCGAGCACATGTCACCGACTTTACTGTCACCGGGCCGCGTTAATCGAGACATGTTTTTCTAATCGGGCGTAAACCACGCGGGGCACCCATACCACTAATTGGATAACCCCTGCTCGAGGCGTAATCATGGGGGGTGATATGAGCCACCGCCTTCCTGTGCGCTTGGTTCCGTAGATTCCTTCGTCATATTTCGGTTTCATTCTTTGCATACTTCGGCGTTTTCGGTATTGTCAAGAGCAAGTGACACCATTGGCCATGAGTGTTCAGCTGCGCATGAGCAGCTCGAGAGAACGGCGACAGAATAACTTCAGATGCGAATCGCGACGCTTGCTTCACCTCAACAATGTGCCAGACTGTCCTATATCGAATGAAGCGGTTTGCGAAGCTGTCGAATCGGACGGCCGAGCGTGCTGGATCGCGCTTCCGCCGAAATCAGACGACATCTGGTGCTATCAGCATCACAATGACTGGAGGCAAATGAGTGCGCGATGGGAGAAAGTCAATCAGAACGCGGAAGAGATGGTGGTGGTGGGCTTAGAGTCTGCGAAGCAAAAGATTCTATTACTGCGACAGTCTGTATACCTCAGACGACAAATCCAGCATCGTTTCCATCCTCGTGGCGGAGACATCCAAGATTATATCGAATGGATACAAAAGATGGAGAACAATACGAGGCATCTTGCAGACACTTTACTCAGTACTGTATAATGGTCCCTTTCACAGGTACCAGAAGCTCATGAATGCGCAATATAGTGTCGAATCTCAATCGCGGTCCAACTCCAGAGACGCCCGGCATTCACACCATGTCACCACCTCCAAACGACCATGAAAAACGAGACAGAATTAGGATCCTTCGGTCTCCATTGGATCCCCGAATACCCATGAGCTCATTGGCTGGTCTACCTGACGACGGTACTATCCTTGTACTCAAACACTTTTATGTGGATGTCTGTACAGATAGCATACGGCGGCTATACACCATTGTTCCCGATTTGGACGACTCACAAGATTATCCAGACTCCCCTGGTACTAACGATCAGACTGGAACGGACACGGGTACAGATATCATCCGTGCCTGGTTCCGCATCATGATTCTAAACGATAGCGATGCTGCAACGTTGGAACATGCGACAATGTCGAGAAGTATCGACAAGTTTCTCTCGGGTTGCCAGGCCAGTCAGCTCGAGATGTATTGTGATTTCTTCGAAAAAGCATGGCGACCTCACGCTGTTCAATATCTCCGCGTCGCGATATGTGCCCAGACTCTTGCCGGTGGGGACATCAAAACCATCCAGCTACTTGGAGGCACTATACCAAGTACCACCGAGGGATTGGAGATGAATAAGCCATGTTGGGATATTCTGTATGTTTGCATTGAAAACCCGAAGATTCGACTAATCTGGTCTAGTTATCGCTGGTTCCCTACGCTTCTCACACCCTGGACTCTCGCCAGTATATGCTCCAACTTTGAAGATTACACAACAATCTGCAAGCTGCTTATGCTCAAATTATACAACAACCACTGGTATGATCGAAAAAGTATCATGGGCGAATGCGCCACGGGTGTGTACTTGGGTTTCATACCAATGAGCAAAGGGGACTTTACCTCGATCAACGGTCTGAAGCAAGAGGAGGGTATGTGGGTGCAACGACAATCGCGCAATTATCTGTGTGGGCAAATGGCCATAGGTCATCCCTTAACTCAAGCGTTCTTGAGTGAACTGCGCAAGCGAACCGCATCACTATATCTCGTCGTGTACGAAGGCACACTTGCTGACGCGACTGTCCACCCAACTGAGCCAGATCTATTCATCAGCCGCCATCGCTCGGCAGCAGCATTGGATGAGTTGGATAAAGTCGACTTCACCACCACACTCACCCTGGAAGAGATCAAAAACCAGCTGCGCATGCGGAAAACATCAATGTACGACCCTATCGTAGTCGATTCTTGGCAATTCATCATCATCGACCGTGAGGTCGGGTTACCTTTCCGACTGATAGACATCGTACAAGACACACTCCTCATGCTCGTTGGCGACCCATCCCCCCGGCAAATGGCCAAGCGGGTGATCCGCGAGATCATCCCCTCCTCAGCACAAGAGAGTTACCTAGAAGATATAAAAATCGAATGCTCATCCGAGCTACGTTACCCACCGCCCGGCGAAATCCAGCACGAAGGCAACAGATGGCGAACATACAACCCCGACCCCTCAATCATCGCCGCAAAACAAATCAAATCAATCCCACAAAACATCTCCCGAGACGACAACCGCTTCATCCGCCGCGCAATCGAAGACATGGAACGCTACGGCATCGTTAGTCTTGCTCCAGAGTACGAAGAGCCACAGACGCGACCCATCATCATCCAAGGCGAAGACGGCAACCCAGATCTCTACTTCCCCTACGACGACAGCGCAACATCAGTAGAAGGCGAGCGCTTGCCGATTTTACCTCTACCTCCGCGAACTTGTCTGGTGGATTTCGCGCATGCGTTTAAGCAAAAGTATTCGAATGCTATTATGGCAAAGGGCTCGATACAAACGCATTACTGCGCTTGGCCTATGCCTGCGATAAAAAGTCTCGGGAAAAGTGGTTTGAACTTTGCTACGTGGGAGGGTCATGTGTACCGTTGGAATGCTATGCGTAAGTTCCTTTCCTCCCCCTTCCCCTCCCCCCTTTCACCTCCTCCTCTCCCTCCTTCCCCCTCCCAACTAACCCACCCCCCAGCATTCGACCGCCCCTCCTCCGCAAACGCCTGGCAATACTACATCCAACACTTCCTCAACTCCAAGTACACTTTCGTCATGTTCTACCTCACCACCTTTGTGATTTGCGCCACGGACCAGGAAGACGGCGAGCGTAAGACGGCGACGCTGCTCGAGGAGATGGAGGATAGGGGGTGGAGGGTTACGCTGCCGAGGGTGCATGAGTGGACGAGTGATGTGGAGGAGTTGAGGTTGGAGAGGCTGTTTGGGGGGATTAGGGCTGCTTAGGTTGGTGTGGGGAGGGGGCTGGGTAGGGGAAGAGAGGGGAGGGGGGGTAGGTGATGATTTCATGGATACAAGATTCTCGGTGCGTTCTTTTTGAGCGATTGTGGGATTTGTTTTTAGCGTTTAGCCGTGTTGCATACCCATTTCCTTTCCAGTTCTACCTATCCTTCTTTTCATCCACCGTACGTAGAATACTACATCTAACCAACAAAGCTCCATCTTTCTCCTTCCCCCCTTCCTACCTACCTACCACGACCGCCAGCACAACCAATAAACGATCTTTTATACAAACTGTTGGTTGGCTTTGCACTAAGTGCGTAAAGGGAAATAACGATAACTAGTAATGCATTCTGTTCGGTGATTGTTCTTATTGATTGTCTACGAACATAGGTGTTACGAAGGTATACCTAAGCTCTGCGCAAGGTGGGCCGAAGTCGGGCCGAAGTGTCAAGCAGCCGACGTCTCTACCGATACTCACGATCCGACACAAACGGGTATATATAAGAAGAAAAAGGTTTATATATACACATGTGTATGTATGTGTATTTCTTGGGGGGTTCAGTATATTAGAGGTTTTTACTCGGACAAGGGGTGCAGAAGTGAGGTTTTGGATGTTAGAGGAAGGAAGGAAGAAGAGTGGAGTGTAATATGATGTTTTTGTTCTTTTTCAAATTGATTTGATTGATGAATGTGAATGTGGATGAGTAACACCCTCACTTTTCTCTATGAAGCAAAGGAAAAAAATCTAGCTAACCACCTAGCTGGACCACAATGGGTATAACATAGCCCTACTCCTATCCCTTCTCTCCTTCATCCGTCCGTCCCTCCCTTTGCCGCCATCAAGGCAATAATCCTAATAATGCAAGTCTATAAGAAAAGAACCCCCCCCCCAGACCCTCATAACATAACCCCTTCAAGGAAAAACCCTAGAAACAAACACTACTCCACCCTCCTCAACAACCTCCTAAACCCCGACAACTCCTCCAACGCCTCCTGAACAGACACACCTGTGGAAGACGTAGACGCCGACCTATGCCTCTGCTTCGGTGGTGGTCTGAGGGACGCCGAACCGCCAGACGAGCTACGCGTCCGCATTGCCGACAATGGGGACAAGAAAGTTGAATCCAGCAATGGTGTTGAGAGTGGTAGCGATGTTGTAGACGATGTCGAAGAGTGGGAGAGCGTTGGTGTGAGCGGGTCATCAGCGATGATGATGATGGGGTGGTGATAGTGGTGATGGTGGTGACTGTACGCGCGAGCCGGGTATTAAAAATGTGGTTTCTTTTACTTTTACGGGGCTAGTTTGGAAGAAGGGATGTCTAGTAGTGCATGTGAAAGACGAAGAAGAAGAAGAAGTGGAAAGGAAAGGAAAGGAACAAAAAATGATAAAGTGGGTTTTGGGGAGTGGGGATATAATGTGTGGTGTGAGTCGCTGTGAATAAAAGCTCTAAAAAAGAATAGTAGCTGTGATATAGACAGCAAAAGTGGCATGACCAGCATGAAAATCTGGCTCTTCGGTTGCTTTCCAAGGAAGCGCATCGAAGACTTGCCAGCGCATAGAGCAGACAAAATAGTTGAAGAGAGAAAAAGTCGTAAGATGGGTTGGATTACCTTCCATCATCACTAGTTCTGGGGCTTTGCCTCCTACTATTCATCTGCGTATTGCGATACGTTTCCTCGTTCAACGTGTCCAGACTGCGAGCCGGACTAGGAGTCGTTCCTCTGCTGCCTCTACTGCGGTTTGGAGAGCTGGGTCTTGACGTTGCGATTTCGTAGCTGGGAAGCATCATGTCGACGCCACCAGGAGTCCTTGAGCCAATGGGCGTGCGCACAGCTGTGTTGTAGCTGGGTGTTCGCGCTAGAGCGTCCATGTCGTAATTTGACGTGGGCAGGTCAAAGTAGGCTGGTTCGGCGTTGTTGGCGGGTGTACTATCACCCGATGAGTGTCTTGATGGCTGGATGCGTGTGGATCGGTCGTCGTGGTTCATGCTAAGATTCGCAAGACGGTGCTGGAGTGCCAATGCTGATGCACCGCCACCGGGCTGATGCACCGCCGCATCCAGGGATGTGAGATTCTCGGCTGAGCCGCGTCTACTCTGAGCGTAGAAGGGTGTGTTGGCGCCGCTGTTCATCATGCTGTACTGACCACTTGGCGTCATGAAACCAGAAGGATCAATGTCGTTGTAAAGCGAGTCTAGTTGATGCAGCCCATACGTAGGAGGCGCATTCTGGTTGACCTCGTCCTGGATCGCTTGCTGGTTTAGGATGTTCTGATCGACCACCACACTCTGGTCCTCGTTCGGAGGCAAGTTTGGCGAGATGAACAGGTGCACGTGGTTCTTCACCAGCAACTGACTCGTGTGACCTTCCGGATTCTTGAGATTGACGTATAACCGCAACTTGTGCGATAACCGGATGTTCTCAGTATCCACCGATTGCCGACAGCTCTTGAGCGACTTTGGGAGATGCAGCGTCATGGAAAAACGGTGGGATTCGTCAAACAGAGCATCCGGATCTTCGGTTCCTTCGGGAACTGTTTGCGCAGAGTTCTCGGGCATTTCGCCTTCGGTCACCGCGACTTGCATCTCCTGCTGATGGCTAATACGCCGTCCGGCATAGTCTGCGAAGAGTTGGCGCGACTCTAACAGCTCCATTTTGATGGTCGATATGACAACGCCCTTGCGCAGCGGAATCAAGACGAAGTCTGCTGTGATGCTGGTGCCCACGATATAGTTCTTCTGGGGAACGGTAATCTTGTATGCGAGCTTATTCGCCCAGATATCCTCGTTGATCTGCTCCATGGGCATGGATTCAAGCATGTCGCGGCCGAGTGTGCGAATTACGCGGATGTGCGTGCTAGCAGTGAGCTGCTTGCTCATGTAGCCTCTGTCCACTGACGCCTTAAGACTATAAACCACCCAGTTCGTCGGTAGTCCCTCGATGCTTTGGTCGATGTTCGGGGGCATCTTGAACTTGAAGTCCCACTCATGGTAACCAGCATTCAGCTTGTGCGCTTTCGTCTTGGTGCCGACATCGACGGGGAACAAGTGCAGCTCGTCGACAAGGAAGTTTGACTTTTGGGTAATGGGTTGCGGGTTCACCGTATTTGTGACATGCCATCTTTGCGCACATAATCAGCCATGCATTCTGCCAGGGTTTCGGGAAGTGGAGTTACCGTACGAGACTTTGCGGGTGCCTGTGAGTGTGATGCGCAGGTTCTTCACTGACATGGACTCTGGGTTGTTCAGAACCAACTTGCCCTTCAGCTCCGCTTCGTGCGACTCTGACGATTCTCCATAGAAGACAACAAAGGGCGACTCCGGCCTGCGGAGGGGTTAGGGCGGTCAGCTTGAAGTTGCAGCAAAGCCTACTTGATCTCCAGGGTAGGGGCGGCGTGTTTGCCGAATACTCCGACACCAGGGCGAGGCATCATGTAACGAGGGACAAGCACTGGATCACCACAAAGACAAAACGACCATCACACGTTGGCGGAGGGTGCGGGGCTGGCGCAATTAAGTATCAGCTGGCCAAGTCGCAGGCGCAGGCTGATGCAAGCCAGCAGATCAGTCGGACGTAGCGGAAGCCGGGACGACGAGGTACTGCGGTAGAGGCGGCTCTCGTATTTGGGGTGGGATTGGAGTGGGATGGAGCGGGATGATGATTGAGATGCGGAGGTGAGTGAGTAAAGTAGAGAGATGAGTAGCAGCGATGAGGATAGCAGACCAGGGCAGGCGCGTGCTACTACTACTCTAGATATACATGTAGTATCGCGCTCCAGCTCAGCGTGGGATGCGCGGGCAAGGGCGGCGTAACCAGCACCTGCACCCTGATGAGCTCATGGGCATGGGCGCAGGCGTGGGCGTGGTGGGCTTTGGCATAAGTGGAGACGCTGGCTGCTCGCATCATTTGTCTCTTCCCTAGCGCCCGTCTCTCACAGTTTGCGAAATTTCTGGCGGCGGTTGGGCGTCCCATGGCCCAGGGGGGGGGGGGGGGGGGGGGGCGTGAAAGAAAGTGCCCCGATAGCTGGCCGTGAACGGCGCGATAGACAGTTGCGGCCATTCAAGTCTGTCAAAGACTACGCGCGGCCTTGATAGCATGTGAAGATAATAGACTGGGCAGACAGAGTTATACGGAAGCATCGACATGTCTCCACTTTGTCCAACAAGCGAAGCTGGATGCTTACGTGCTCATGCTTACACAGACGTTTCTCTTGCACTTGCGAGGGTGCGGCTGCAGGCAGCGTGTTGCGGCTCTCCCGAGAAAATTGTGGTACAACCCAGGCACACATTGCATCGGCCAAGACAAGTCCGAAACAATGGCGAGCCCGCCTGCACGTCGCCGGTGTCTAACACGTCAACAAGCTCGTAACCAAACTCGATAGCCATTTGGTGTCTGGGCATGGACAATCCGGTCACGGTCACGCCGTTGATCGCCACGATGAAACATCAGGTTAGTGCCTAGGTATAGTAGGTACTTTGATAGATTGCAGTGTGTCTACCTAGTACTGTACTTACAGTAATGAACCAGTGCCTGCAGTTGGAACAGGCTGCGGCTAGCCGTGCATTGGCGCACCGGTGGGTACAGATCAAAAGAGCCTCATACAGGCCCGCAACGCAAGAGCCCGCACCAGCACAGCTTAACAGCAATTGCAGTAATTCCCGCAAGCACCGTCCTTATCCACTGAAGAGGGCACACACCAAGATTTCCGGCCGGAAGACTTGTAGCGATTTCGGCACCATGTTGCATGGTGGAGATAAGGAAAACTTGATTTTCAGAGCTTATGGATGGCCCTGTCTTGGAACTGTTCTAGAACAATACACTGCCTGCCACACCTCTGTCTGACGTCTGCCACCCGCTGCCCACTGCACGCAACCAACGCGTAGGGCTGAAGAGGCGAGCGCCTCTTTGCATGTGAAAAGTCCACCTGCATCGGGTCATCCCGGAGCTGCACAGAGTTAACACAAACACCATCGTATCCCGACGTCCAACAACAAATCTACGAGCTTGTCTTTGCACTTGCTGACATGCTGCTATCGTCGTTGGCGGCACTTTCCTTGGGACGATCCCATATTCTGATGTGGCCTACAAGTCAAGAGTCAGCATCGATCCACTTCCTTATCTCTGGTTTCGCCGCATCGCGAGTTCAACAAAACCCCAGCGGGTCCCTGTGTGACAGCTAGGTGAGCGGGTGTTCCTGCGCACGAGCACATGCGCCACAGCAAACTGACCCTTATCGCAGATCGCAGCGTCTTAGGCTGCAACGTGCGGGTCATGAGTGGATATGAGGTGATCAAACGAAAACTTTTGCTGACGCAACTCACCATTTTTGCATGATGTGAGGATGCAATCTTCTTCGAATCCCAGCCAGCAGAGTGGATGCTCGTGAACCGCTTTCGCCTGCACGTCACTCCATTAGCTCATATCTCTCTCACGTTCACGTATCGACGGGCTCACCAGCACCGGAGGCAGCATGGCCGTGCGTGCCCGAGGCTCCACCGGATGCACCACCTCGTCGTCCTCAACCATGCTGCTCGAGCTAAGGTTCGAGTTGGACCGTAGGCGGTTGGTCGAATTGCCCGTTTGTGTTCGTTGCATCTTGATGTTGGACGACGCGATGCTGCCGCGTTGTCTTACCGAAGCCTAAGCCAGCGTCAGCCATGACACGACGCTCACCAGACTTCAAACTCACCGCTTTTGGCCTATGCAGCATGCCCACACTAAAGTCCCATAACAACAAGCGACAGTCTTCTCCCACACTGCCAATGCGATAATTTCGCTCGTCGCACCGCCATGGATCAAACTGCACTGCCGTCACCCACGAGTTGTGTCCCTGGCAGCGTGCAACTAGCATGCTGTCCTCCAGGGACCATATTGACACCAAATCATCTTGACCTCCGGTTACCACGTATCGACCGTCGGGCGACCAGCAGACACACATCATGCCGCCATAGTAGCTCATGTAGTGGTGGATCAGCTTCTCCCTGAGAAAGTCCATGATTCTGAACGACCCATCCTCGGACACAATGGCAAGATGGCGGCGGTCTGGAGAAAACTCAAACGCGTTGACCTTGGATCTCGAGACTTGCCAGTACGAGACAGGGTTCATTTTCTGGTTCTTCGAATTGACCGATTTCTTTATCGTCAACAGCTTCTTCAGTTTCTTCTCCCCGTCGGTCAAACCTTCTTCCGAAGTAGACATGTTTTCCTCGGGGACAAACACAGCATCTTCCTTTTCCTTGTCATACACTACTAGACTTCCATCCATGTGCGCCGCCAGAAAGAGGTTCTCACTGTTGGGAAGCCACCGTATATCCGATACGGCTGTTGCATTGATCACCCCGTTTTTGTTGATGCGTGCATACTTTTGTGACATGGGCTCGTACCATATGATGTCACCGGTCGAGAATCCCATGATGATATCGAGGTGGTTCGGCCCTTTTGTGATCTGGTTGATGTCGTGACATAATGCATGCGCTTTGGTAAACAGAATCTTAGTCATATGTTCCTCCTTGGTGGGCGACGTCAGGTCGAGCCATTGGAATGCACGGTTGATGTTGGCAAAAGCATAAAGGCCATTGGGGTTATGTTCTTGTAGTCGCTTAGTCAGAGCTTCGTGCGGGATGACCCTGGACACAAAGGACGAGTTGCTCTTAACAATGTTGCTCTTGGGTTTCCGCCTCTTAGACGCATCCTTGGAGTCCTTGCCATTGAGCACTGACAGCGCTGCATTTCCTTCGCCAAACACCGGTGTCTTCAGGCCGTCCAAGGGCGATGATACAATTCCATTGGCGCCATGAGAGCCGACGTCACTCGATTGGCTATTTGTCTCGTGCGGCGATTCCTGTATGCTCTGCGGAAGCTGCGAGCGAGTACTAGTGCGCGTGCCGAAGCGGTAGAGCTGCGACTGCGAGGGTTGGCGAGGCGCAAGGGCTACGAGTGAAAGCTTGGTGCCAGATGTTGGCGGCGATATCGTCGTCGCAAGAGGATTCGGGTTGTGAACGGGAGCTTCAGACGGATGCGGCGGGGGCGTGGCCAGGTGGAGGTCGTCGCGGAGCACGTATGTTCCTATCATCGTATCAGTATGGTGAAAATGACGCAGTAAGCTTTGGGCCACAGGGTAATCAAGTACCTTCTCCAACAACAAGCTGATACTCTGGACCCGTCGGATGGGTCAGAGTATTGTTGGTCTCGATAAGCTGGCCTGGTTGCGCGCCTGGGTAGCCTCCGATGGGATAGCGTGGAGGAGGGGGTAGCACGCTGTACACATGTCAGTATCAATCGCGCTCGTCATGCAGGTGGAGCCTGACAACGCCGCGATTGGGGGGCGGGTGCGCGGTCAGGTGGAAGATGGCAAACTTACAACATAGCTGATGCAGTGTAATCTGTCGCGAACTAACGGCCTCGGATTGGGAGGGGTGGAGTCGGCATGCCAGGACGCGCAAATATAAGGCCGAGGAAGAGCGACAAGCGCCAATTTGAGCGCGCGGAGAAGGAAGCTGGTACCGACGGGATCTGGGGTAGCTGCGAGGCACGAAGCGGAGACAGTCGCCCGTGCCCTCGCTGTACCTTGTCCCGAGTCACAGCGGGTAGTGGCTTCCTTTTCGTCTTCGCAACGGCGTGGATAGCAGGGTTTCGGCACGTGCAGCCAACAGATGACTTCAATCCCAGAGCCCATCCTTGCTGCCATCCAGGCCAACATCCCAGCGACCAATGTTGCGGGGCCGCGATCGTCTCCCACGTGTGCCAAGCATATTTGACAGCCCACCACGGAATAACTGGCGACCTGTGTCGCCTTGTGCAGTCAGAGCTTCTTCAGGAGACGACGCACCTACTCCCCACTAACACGATTGATTCCATCCAACATGCACTGAGCATGCCGTCAGGGAATGGCGACCGGTATGTATGTACACACCCCGCCATAAATGCTCAACTAATCTTGGCCCAGTACGAATATGTCTATGCGGTGACGATGGCGTCGGCAAGAGCTCCATCATCACATCTCTTGTCAAGGATGTCTTCGTCACAGCCAAGATCCAGGCTGTCTTGCCCCAGGTGACGCTACCGCCCACGCTCGGAACGCCGGATAATGTCACCACCACCATCGTTGACACCTCTGCCCTGCCCCACGAGCGCCATGCCCTCCGAAAAGAGCTGCGAAAATCAAACGTCATCCTGCTCGTATACTCGGACCACTACAGCTATGAGCGGGTAGCGTTGTTTTGGATGCCATATTTTCGCTCGCTCGGCGTCAACGTGCCCGTGGTGCTCTGCGCCAACAAGTCCGATCTGGCCTCCAATGGTACCACATCCCAAGTTGTGTCCGAGGAGATGCTGCCGGTCATGAACGAGTTCAAGGAAATTGACTCGTGCATCCGCGTCAGTGCCAAGGAGCATCACAACATCAACGAGGTCTTCTTCCTCTGTCAAAAAGCCGTGACACACCCGATAGCGCCCCTATACGACTCCAAAGAGAACGCTCTCAAGCCCGCGGCTGTATCTGCCCTCCAGCGCGTCTTTCATCTCTGCGACACAGACAAGGATGGATACTGGAACGATCAGGAGATTCACGACTTTCAGATCAAGTGCTTTGAGAAGCCGCTCGGGGACGACGATCTGGCAAATATCAAGCGATCCATGGAGCGATTTGCACCCGGCGCTACTGGAGAGCATGGCATGGACGTAAAGGGCTTCTTGCTACTGAACAAGATTTTCGCAGAGAAAGGCCGTCACGAGACGATTTGGATAATTTTGAGAAAATTCCACTACACCGATAGTCTGAGTCTCCAGGATACCTTCTTACACCCCAAATTCGACGTTCCCCAGTTTTCTTCGGCTGAACTGAGCCCATCCGGGTATCGCTTCTTCGTCGACCTCTTTCTGAAGTTTGACATGGACAACGACGGCGGATTGAACGACAGGGAGCTTGCTAACCTCTTCGCGCCCACGCCTGGCATGCCCCCGTCTTGGGTCGACTCGGCGTTCCCATCATGTACAGTGCGCAACGAGGCAGGATACATCACATTGCAGGGATGGCTGGCTCAGTGGAGCATGACTACCTTTGAAGAGCCAAAAACGACGCTGGCCTATCTAGCCTACCTAGGCTTCGAAAGCGGGGACCGCGGGGGAACAACGAGCGCACTAAAAGTCACCAAGGCTAGGAAACGACGGAGGAAGCCGGGGCGGGTGGAGCGGAACGTTTTCCTCTGCTACGTACTAGGCTCCAGCGGAAGTGGAAAGAGCGCCTTGCTGTCGGCCTTCCTACAGCGCCCCTTCAGTCAGACATACCACCCGACGATTAAACCGCGTTCGGCCGTCAACAGCGTCGAGCTGAAGGGTGGCAAGCAATGCTACCTGATCATGGAGGAGCTTGGCGAGCTCGAGCCTGCCATTCTGGAGAACCAGGCTAAGCTGGATGCGTGCGACTTGCTGTGTTACACGTACGACTCGAGCGATCCTACCAGTTTTGCGTATATCGTCGAGCTGCGGAAAAAGTACCCGCTGCTGGACCAGTTGCCAGCAGTATACACGGCATTAAAAGCAGACCTCGACAAGACGATGCAGCGCTGCGAGCAACAGCCCGATCAGTACACGAGCGCGCTAAGGATGGCGCCGCCACTACATGTCAGTACAACGTGGAACAGCATTTCGGAGCTATTTGTCCATGTAAGTGCTCGTATTGATGACGACATTTGCGGAGCTGACGTTTGATAGCTGGCCGAGAGCGCGACACACCCGTCGACGGCGTTCCCCAAGCAGGAGGAAGACGAGTACGATTACTTGAATCTCTACCTGACGCTAGGTGCAGTCACGTGCGCAGTAGCATCCGCAGTGTTCATCTGGAAGCGCAAGAGCGGGGCTTGGTGAGACTAGACGTCTGGTTCAATGTACTTATATAGGGGCACGACTTGGCTTCATTCTTGTGATTCGTCTCTGTAGTCAGTTGTAATCGACCTTGTTCTCCGTGCCGGATGGTCGGCGCTTAGCCATGACATGACGTTGGCGTACGGGTGTACAAGACAGTCCGGAGGCACGAGCGGACGAGGAAGCAGACGCAGGGAAGCCTTACCCCTGGCGGCTGGATGCAGTGTGAACTTGGCTAGGTGCGGGTGAAAGGCGTGCCATAAAGGGGAATACCATCTGGCCGTTTTCTCCGGCGTTTGCGGTCGCATGAAGAGGACATGCCTCCAGTGCACCCAAGCTCGGCGTCAAGTTGGGTATGCTGGGGATCGACAAGTAGCTTGGGAGACGGCTGCGGTTATCGTCACCAGCCAAGGCCAGCTGCACATGCGGCGCCAGAGGTCGATTCAGCGTGAATGTAGAAGAAGCAGCCATGGTCATCGCCAAGCGGGATTCAGGAGTGACGCCCAGGCCGCAGGCGCGAATGGTGGTGATGTTCGTGAAAGTAGTCATGGTGGTAACCATCGGGCGTGGTGCGCTCATGGCCGGGGCGTCCTCCGCCTCAGGCATCGCACTCGAGGCTAGTCGATTCGCGTTAGCAACTTGGCCCTGCTGCTGGCTGCCGACAAGAGTATGTGCACGATTGTCTATACACTTCTTCACCCTGTTGTCATGGTCGCTCTCATTTATAAACCTTTGACGCTGCACGCCTCCGCCGCCCATTCTTCCCGTCGCCCCCTCTCCGGCCCCCTCGTCACCGGCCTGGTGCAGGCCTAAACCGTGGCAATCTTGCCCTCCCGCGTCCGCCGCACCTCCGCACCTCCGCACCCGTCGCGAAATGGTGAGTTGAACGTAGCACGTGTCCGGCTGTCCGCATGGGGAAGACCAGAGTGTCCACTGGGGTTGGAATTGCGTGACCCCGTGACTTCTGCCCTCTGTAGCAATATCCCGGCATAGGCCCGCGCCGCCAATCCAACTCCCCAGGACATCCAAGCTGACCACGTCTCGTACCCCACAGGCTACCGACCGCGCCCAAGAGTTAGACCGCTTGTATCAGATGCGACACCCGCCGCGTCGGGGCCACGCGCCGCAGATATCAATCAGCGATGAGAGCCATCACGTCACAGAGGCCATAGGCGACTTGTATGGCGGCGACAGCGACACCGAGTCCAACCGCCGCAGTCTACGCCCCTTGAGCTTCATTCCCAGCCCCAACGGCGACTCGATCCAGTCCTTTGGTGCTTTCGAGGCTTTTGACCCTTTCCCCAACGCGCCCCCCGCGAGATCCCCGCTCCGCCCCCAGATGTCTGGCGACAAGGGCAACAGCCCGACAAACTCCAATGGTGCCGCCGCCATGCAGCAAAACAGCGCCTCGTTTGACCCTCACCCTTCAAACGGCGCCCAAATGTCTCCTCCACTGTCCCGCTCAAACTCAGACACGGCCTCACACCAGTTCCCTCTGAACGATTTGGACTACGAATCGAGTCCCGCCGGCCTCGCGCAGGAACTGAGCAATCTACAGGCGATACGGAGGATGTCCATGGGCGTTAACAATGCCGATCCCGACCTACCTTCGTTCAAGTCGGCCAACTCGCCCCCATCGCCGCCGGCCATGTCGGAAGAGGAGGAGGCGTCGAAGCTATTCTGGGTCCCCGCACGACTGCATCCCGAACTGGCGCCCATGGAGTTCAAGACATTCATAGAGGATAAGATTGACCGGACCAGACGCCGCTCGGGTGATGCCGAGTCGCTATCGCCGGATGGAGCTGTGGGGCGCCAGGGCTCGGGTGCTGGGTTACGGCGGAAGAAGTCGATGCTGTCCAGGCAGATTGATACTGGCTCGGGATACAAGGATGGTGCTGAGAGGCTGGAAAGGAAACGCTCCGGCACGCAGTCTAGTGGAGGTCTGACTAACCTCCAGGAGCTAGAGCACATCCAAGAGGATCCAGTGGCTTTGATAAGACGGATGAGCATCGACCAAAAGGACTTTGATGCTGAAGGCGGTGCCGACGGAGACCTGCCCATTGTACCGGGCAGCAAGATGGGCGGCTTAGGGACGTTGAAGCGATCGACTCGCACCACATACAGACGGGGCAGTTTGCGGAAAGGAGGCCCACCTCTCTCCCGCCGACTTGCAGGCCGGCAGGCCGAGACGGATACCGAAGATTCACCTTCTAGTTCGCCCGTTTACTCGGCCGAAAGCATACCCGATGTGCCTCCCTTGCCACTTGCTCGTGTTCAGTCGGAACCCGTCAACTCGGCCTTTGAGAACTCGCCCAGCAATTTCTCACGACCACAAACGAAACGCTCACCCGCTGGGATGACTATGGAAAGACCAGGGTCGGCAGAGGAGCCCCCCAGGCCAGCCTCTACAGAACCAGTATCACACGAAAAGTCCGGGCCCCAGCCACGGAAGTTCCACTCTAGAATCGCATCAAATGGACGGACAACGGCTCCTTTGCCAGGCTACAACCCCCAGCCGCAGGTACCTCAAATAATTGAGACACCACCTCCACAGGAAAAGGACAGGAGACCACCTCATATGCAACTACCAGAACGTAATTCTTCACGCCAGCCTCCACCTCAGTCCCAACCGCAACCTCAGCCAAGCGGCCCTCGCAGCTATCCCCAGCCCCAACCCCAGCCCCAAAGTCAACCACGACAGTCATCTTCGAGTCGACAGAACCGACATGCCCAGGCTGCCCAGGCTGCCCAGTCTTCCCCGATCAAACCCGCGCAATCTTTTGATGAGCTAGTCGGCCATTCATCCCCGATGCCCGGAATGAGTAACCGAGTGGATTCCCTATCAATCATCCCCAACGCCCCCGAGGAGAGAAGGTCAGAAGATAAGAAATCTGACAGAAAATCAAAAGACAAAAAGGACGCCGAAGGCCCCAGGAAAACTAGTTGGGGCTGGTTTAGTGGTGATAAAGACAAGGAGAAGGAAAAGGACAAGAATCACAAGGACGAAAAGGAAAAGGAGGGGGGTACCAAAAAGGTGAAGAACAAGCTTAGCAAGTCCCAGGAGAAGAACGTCGTCCATGATGATACAAGACTTGATGTGCTACAAACTTCAATACAAGGTAGCGGCCGCGGTCGAGAAAGTGTGGTACTGGATCGCGACAATGTCAAGCTGGAAGAGGAGCGAAAGAAGGAAAGCGCGCGAAAAACGTCCAGTGAAGGCAAGAAAGAAAAGGAGCCTGGTTTGTTGTCCTCCATCTTTGGCGGAAAGAAGAAGGGCGAGAAGGAGTCGTCTTACAAGAAGAACTCCTCTCGGGGGCTATCGCCCGAACCTCCACCACGCATCTTGAAGCCCGACATTGATTACAACTGGACACGATTTTCCATCTTGGAGGAACGCGCGATATACCGAATGGCTCACATCAAGCTTGCGAATCCCCGTCGCGAACTGTATTCGCAAGTCCTGTTGAGTAACTTTATGTACTCTTATCTGGCAAAGGTTCAGCAGATGCACCCGCAGATTTCTATTGGCAATTCCAAGCAAGCGAAGCAGGCTCAGCAAGCTCAACAGCAGCAACAGGCTGCGCAGCAGAAGAAAGAGCAGCAACAGCAGCAGCAACAACAACCGCAACAGCAACAAGCTCCACAGCAAGGCCAGTATGCGCCCCAGCAGCAACAACAACAACAACAACAACAACAGCAGCAGCAGCAGCAGCAGCAGCAGCAACAGCAATCACAGCCAGATGAGTTCGCTCAATACCAGCGGTACCAACAGGTAAGCAAGCAAACACCCAAACACCTCAGTTCTCCACAGTTAACAACTCCCCCCCAGCATCAGCAATACGAGCAAGCCGAAAAAACCAACGAATGGCCCAGCGTCCAACAACAGCAGGAAAACGGTATCTCACAACAACAACAACAATTATCGCAAAACGGGCAAAATCCACGTGACTCACATCACTCTAATTATAGTGCGAATGGCGGTGGTGGAAGTGGGGGTGGCTATAGTGTCGCCAACACGCAGAATTACCTGGGGCAGTCGTCGAATAAAGCTGGTGGTGGTGGTGGTGGTGTTGGTGGGTACCACTATGCTGCTGATGCGGATGCGGAAGTAGATAATCGGGGAGATGACGATATGTGGTAGTAAAGCAAGCATGCAGCAGTTGTAGCAACAGATGTCATTCATCATTTATTTACTGAAGAGTACGTAGGCGCGCGGGCGCGCGGGCGGATTTTTACTTAGTCCCCCGATAACTAAGCGCCGGTTCTTTTTTTTTCGCGGTCGGCGGAAGCCTTGTCGACATCTCATCAGCATTTGTTGTTGTTTTTATTACTCGAAAACTTCTTTAAACTGTAATTGTATATATACGGGGATTGTATCTGTGATGGGTTTTTTATTTGTTTCGTGGGTGTTTGTGGGTGTTAGTGTTTGTGGTGTGTGTAGGGGGGCGGTTGGAGAGAGAGAGGGGGGAGGTGAGGGCTCAGGCTGCTAGGTGTGCGAAGGATGCCGTGGGGGGATCACATGCTTACACTTCTCTTAAAGTATAGACAGGGGTAGGGATAGGCATAGGAATAGGAACAGGGGAACGAGGGGGGTGGAAACTAGGGGTAGGGATAGGAATAGGGCAATTAGCATGATTTGACGGTTCGGTTCGAATAAATACGCGTTAAGGGCAAATACGGGATATGTGTGTGTTGTATTGTATCCTGCTGAAGTAGTTTTCTGTGTTTTTCTAGCTAGTGCTAGAGGAATACGTTCACCTAAGGGTCGGTTAGTGGGGTCAGATATAAATACATGTTGTTGTACGAACGCGAGGGCTGTAGGTGTGTAAGTGCACGTATCTGTAGGAGCGGGAGAGAAAGGTTAAGAGGTTTTGGTGAGTGGTGAGTGGGTGAGGGTATCAGAAATGATCTTAAGAAGATAGACTAGTAGTGTAAGTAGAAAGGGCAGGGGTGAGGTGCTTATTAAAGCTAACTACGTGTATCTACCCCACCAATACCATGTTTGCAGCATCTACCCTACCCTCTACAACTACGTCTTAGCCTCGCCGATTTATTTCTCGTGTACACTGTAAAATCTGAGTTGTTAAAAACACAGCGTCTACTTGCCTCTCTTCACCGATATTATCGAATCACGGGAATAGGGAATGTCGGATCGTGAGTATCGGTAGAGACGTCGGCTGCTTGACACTTCGGCCCGACTTCGGCCCACCTTGCGCAGAGCTTAGGTGTACCTTTGTAGCACCTATGTTCGTAGAGAACCAATACCAATACCAGTCACCAGAAGAACCTCGTTGTTGTTATTCACCCGTACGATCGTACAAGGCCTACCAACAGGGAAAGATATATCTGACGTCATCATCTGCCTGTCACCAGACTATCTCGTCTTGCTAATCCACCATCTCTAACCCACCTGGCCGCCCCAACCTATAATTATAAGAACCTTCCCCATCTCTCTCTCTCAAGCAGAATAACGGCAAGAAATAAATAATGTCATCAATCCCCGGTCTCTCGACGAGACTAAGCCCCGTCTACCCACCAAGCCAGACCTCAGAAACGGAACCGGCATCGACACAAGCCTTGATTGAAGCGCTGGGACTGGAACGCCACGTCGAGGGTGGGTATTTTGCCGAGATTGATAGAAATCCGGTTTTGGTGGATAACCCGTTCTTGGATGATGGAGAAGAAGAGGATGGGGAAAAGACAGCATCAACACCTCTCTCAGGAGATGATACGAAAAGAAACGCCAGCACGAGTATATACTACATGCTCAGCGCGGCGAATCCGCAGGGGTGCTTTCATAGGAATAAGGCGAGGACGGTATGTGTGCTACTTCCTCACTCCCCCATTGTCCATCTCTACCTCCGGTTATCCCCGTATCCCACACTAACACCCCTAACCCATAGATACACACCCTCATCTCCGGCAAAGCCCGGTACATCCTCATCCACGCAAACGAATCCAACACCCCCAAACGCATAGAAAGTTTTGTTGTGGGAAATGACTACGCGGCTGGTGAACGGAGTGTTTGGGTTGTTGAGGGGGGGAAGTATAAGGGTAGTTTTTTGCTGGATGGTGGGACTGAGGGGAGGTGTTTGATTAGTGAGGTATGTTGATTTCTGTTCTGGAGGGGGAGGGATGGGCGTGTGGGGAGAGGGATGAAGTTGCTAACAAAGTGCTACTAGACCGTAATACCAGGCTTCGAATACTCAGATCACGATTTCCTTACCATGGAGAAGTTGAGGGGCTTGGTGACGGAGGAGCAGGCGAGGGAGTTGGAGTGGTTGGTTAGAAAGGATTAAGGTTGGGAATATATTATCACTGTCTAATTAATACTAGAACGAGTGTGTAGCCATTATTATAACTAATACCAATAGGGGTGTATAGTTGTTGTTCTTCCTCCTTCTCTCATGCCTCCCATCATTCCCCCTGTCATACCTATCCGAGTGCTCCTCGTATGTCCCTTGATATCTATCTTTCCAGCTGAGCATACCACGTACCATCCAGCCTTGGAAGCTCCACGCATCCCACATACGTGCTCGGCGCCGGTGTCCCAATAGCCAGTCCCACGGCGCGCGGAATCGGGATACGAATCGTCTCCCTCGGGGTGCCAACAGCAGTATCTCTGTAGTTGCTAAGAATAAGCGCATTGGAAATGAATTGCGAAGTATTCCTTATAGAATATCGGACGAAGCGCAAGGGCTCGAAAGATTGGGTAAAGTCGAGGTTGACGTTGATGTTGTTGTTGAAATCTCGGCGCCACGTGTTGAGGTTGTTGATTTGATCTTGGATATCGATGCGGCCGACGCGGTTGATGACTAGGAGCGCGAAGACGTTGGCGAGGCAGCCGATTGGGACGCCTCGCTCGTCTAGGTACGAGGGCATTGCGGAGCGTGCTTCGAGCGTTTTGAGATCTATCATGTTGCCGTGGAGGCCCGCCGGTGAGGTATCTCGGGAGTCTAAAGGTAGGGCCACGCCGGACAGGGCAGAGGTGGCCAGAGAGGCGATGGTGAGGAGGGTGGTGAAGCACTTCATTTTCGTGGGTAGTTTCCGCTCTTGGAGATGGAAAGGATGTTCGTAAGCAGAAGTGAGCTTGACGATGATCGTCTTGGATAGTAAACAAGCTGAATCCTTGGTGAGGCGTTGGAATAATATACTCCCATAGGCGAAAGGTACCAGATACTTATAGTTATGCCAAGAGTGTCTTTGGTTGTACCTACTCGTTGACCGTTTGTAATAGAGCCGAGTACTAGGGCTCAAAGAGTTTGACAGTCCGCACGCCGGCATTTCCACTAGTCATAATGTTAGAACGCAGGTCTGCGCCCACTGCGCTATGCCAACTAAGAGGTACAGTACTTACGTATAACTAGTGAACTACCGGCGTAGGGGGCTAAGAGGCTCGTACCTGGATGTTATAAAATACTAGACAGTGTAGGTAAGCACCCTAATAGACGTGTCTAGTGACTACAGTAGCTTTTTTTACACTAGTATGTCTAGTATTTTATCGCACCCGGGTGCTCGGTCAAGAGTTGGAATCAGCACAGGGCTGATTCAGTATACGCCGGTCCGTAATAAGCTAAGGATGGTGCTGTTGTATCGCAACAAAGCTGGTTTCTATGCCCAAGGAGTATCCCGTTATTCATCATGAGCGGAAGTGGTCCGGGAGTGGGCTAGATACAGTCAAAATTGACCCTAAGCGGAAGTGATTAGAAGTCGGCCAGATACTGCATGTTGGCGTAACTTATACGACGGAACATGCAAGGATAATGCAGGAAGCTGTAATACAAAATAACCCAAAATTACACTTAAGAACCTACCCCTTTACATATATCATTCGAAAGCCAGCATTTGTCTTCACACTTCTGTTTCTTCTATATTCTTCTACTATTATTTCGTGTTGTGTTGTATTGTGTTATGAGCTTTTGAAGCTTCTTGTTTGGTGTTTTTTTTTGGCAAAACGACATAGGCGTTAACTAGCCTTTCGTAGTATAGGGTGGCATTTGACAAAGCTTTTTGAGAAGAAAAAGCTGTATTTTACACACGAACTGCGCTTAAAAAATTGCGGAAACCCCCCGGCTAAATGCCCTCGTATAATTCCTCGTATCTGCCAACATACGGGTACGGTCAGCATTGACCCTAAGCGGAAGCGATCAGAAGTGGGTCAGATACAGTCAGCATTAACCCCCAACCAAACCTACATTTCCTTCCTACTCGGTAGTTACAAATGACGACAGGAAGCTAGGCTGATCCGTTCGATCCATGTTACATCCGCGGGTGCTCTGGAGCACCTAGCGTTTATTTGCAGTAAACTTCAGCCAAGAACCGCTATAACACTAGCTTCAGTCATTTATAACTACCCTATCTATCTATCCTTTTGCTAGTTGGATATACGGTACTGATGCCCAAAATGAATTATTGGAATCAAAAACAGTTGTACAGTTGTCGATAATTCGTTCCCGATCAATGCACACGATGCTATGAAGATATACGCGGGGTTAGTACAAGTCAGATCGAAGTACAATGGAGGCGGCTCGCAAAGTATCGTTAGACCACCGTCACCGTACGTGACGGCCTAACACCCACGCAGTAACTAAAAACAAGGCTGTATATGATAGGCTAGAGTATACCCGCTTTCTGAATCCAGTCAGCGTATGTTGGATTCTGACGGGCAGTACGAGTATTGCCGGCATAGTACCTAGCTACCTACGTAGACCAATCATTGAAGATCTGCCTCTTCTTTCGGGCCTATTTGCCGTCCGGGATGACATCAGTGTTAATTACAAAACTCCAACACCACACGGGATGTATCTTTGTGGACCAACAGAAACCCCTGCAGCAAGCCGCTCCACTATCAGAGCCTAGTACCCCGTCGAACGACATACTAAGAACCTATCAAACACCCTCCAACAACACCCTAAACGAAAGCAGGAACAATCATACAATGACTAACCACCCAAGTCAACTTATCCCGATACCCAAGACTACTACGCTCCCCAAGATCATCCTGTGCCCAAACCGCCTCTAGAATCTTCCTCGTATAATTGAACGACCGCGACGAGGGCACCTAATGTTCCTCCATCTAGGGCAATTTAGACTAGAATGTTCCCTAGGGCCATGGCGTCGTAGCCAAAGGTAGCTAGTGATGCGGATGCTACACAGCAGACTATAGGACGACAAGACACATTAGCACATCTCTTGCCAAGTTTCAATATTGACTGATTGATGGGTAGTAGACCAACGAAATATTCAAGAAAACATACAATACTCAATCAACTCCCGCTCCGGCGTTTCCAACTTCACCCCCGTCCACGGCAACGGCACTCTCATCTTAGACGAATCATGCACCGACGCCGAACTCGACAGACTGTGGTACAATTCCATATCCCAACTCGATGTGTGAACGAAGCTAGCATCTGATATCGGCGGCGCTGAGCCCTGGAGATGCGTCGGTTGTGACGCCTTTAAGACCACGGATCTGCGGGTATCGTTTGCCCTTGGCCAGGATAATTTAAGGCCATTCCGCTGGTTGGGCTGGGTGCTACAATCCTTGCGGGGGTTATTGCAATTTATTCCACGGCCTGGTTGGTGGTTAGAATAGCCCTTGCAGTTACTACGGATTCTTTCCGAGACGGGATTTCTCCAAGGGCTGGTTGGTGGGTTACATACGTTCGCACATGGCGCACCCAGTGCGGATTGCTGTCGTCTGCACCCCCAGCATTGTGTTGTTTGATTGGCTGTGAACTATTTTCTCGGCGAAGGAAGAGGATGCGGGATTCTCGATGCTTATTTATGAAGTTGCCTGTTCTGTGGATCTAGCGTTGAGGTGCATGGGCTCAGCTCATGCGCGGGGCGGAACGGTACCCACGGCTCGGTAACGTTCATGCATGTCTTCCTACCTTCTATTTTGGGTCGAGGTCCCTGGTCTTTTCTTCTCGTTCCCCCATAAGTCTCTGGAAGGGTGGAATATTGTATTAATCTTTTCTTTTTTCCTTTCCTCGATAAGTTATGTCTAGGAAAGCTGTGCTAGTAGACTTAGTTATACACGCGGTCCTTTATTAGGATAGCACACCTCCAAAACTCTTCATCTAATTAAATTGTACTAGCCATAGTACTTTCTACCTGTTTTCAACCAAACGTGGAAGGTGTTACAAAAACATTTCTCTAAACCAAGTGGTTGCCTAAAGAGTACTAATGTGGAAGGTGTCAGAACCCCCACCCGGATATACTATGATGAGTCAGCATTACGTATTTAGAGGAGGGATATGCTACCGTATCTCAGTAGCGATTCATCTATCCTTAGCAGATACAATACTATGCCATTATCTCAATATTCTATCCACCAAGTATAGTCACCAACCATTGAATCCGACCGAAGGAGCGCAATACCCGGGAACAAGCAAGAAGCGAACTCAATATCTACACATTCCGTTCCGAAAAAGCGAGGTCGAAACCCAATAATTAAATCCCGCTTGTTGCATGATCAAACAGCACCAGGACACATAATCCCTTGCTACTTCCATCACCTCCCATCGCGCCCACCTAACGCAGCCAATCTAAACCCACTGCTTATTCCCCAAATGCGACACAAAAGCCCCCGCATCCTTCTCCACGGTCGCATTCTCCCAAACGCTCCTCACAGCCCTAACGCTCTCCTCGGGCGTAATCGGGCCCTTGAAATGCGGCGCATACTTTTGCAGCTTCTGCACAAAAGCCATCATTCCCTTCATCTCCTCTTCGCTAACTATACGTCCATGTTAGCTTCAACATCCATCACAAACAAAAAAAAGGAAAAAAACTCACCACCATCATAATGACCCACCTCCACCAACCCCGGACTAATCCCCATAAAAACCACCCCATCCTTCTTATACTGCACACTAAACTTGGCCACGACAAGATTCATAGCCGCCTTTGACGCAGAGTACAGCGCTCCAATATCGATTTCAACCTCGTTGGTTAGATCCAGGTCCGCGACGCCGGATGTTATCGTAACGACCCGTTTAGTGGGCGCAGGGGAGGCGAGGACTAGGGGCAGGAAAGCGTGGAAAAGGTGAATATTGCCGATTACGTTTGTTTGGAAGAGGTCGTGGGCGCAGGTTTCGAGTTCGGTTGGTTTGTTTGCTCTGTGGGGGGTTAGGGGTTAGCCAGCGGGTGGGTGGGGAAGGCAGGGCAAACACACAACTCCCCAATCGCAGTAAACCCATCAAAATACGACACAAGTCCTGCATTCGCAAGCAGCACGTCAACACCGCGATCCCCTACTATCAGCGCTGTGTCGGCGGCGGCTTGTTTGATGCTAGCGTGGTTGCTGAGATCGGCGTGGAGAATATGGATGTTTGAGCGGGTGGGCAGTTCTTGCTTTATCTTCTTCTCGGTCGCGGATTTGTTGCGGACGAGGCCGACGATTAGGTTTTTGGGGTCCGAAGAGAGTTGTTTTGTGAATTCGAACTGTGGGGATGTTTTAGTAGGTGTATGTGTATGTGTATGTGTATGGTATAAATGGGGTGATGGGAACGCACTCCGAGGCCTTTTGATACTCCGGTGATGACGTAGACGGCCATGGTGGGTGCGGGTTGGATTGATCGGATGGGATATGATTTGATTTGATTGAATTGGTGGACGGGTTGGTCGTGGTGTTTGCGAATGAGACGTCAAGATGGTAACCGTAAGTACTTGAAATAGATCAGATGGAATCAAATTCCTTTCTTCAAAATCTCAATCCTATCAAAAGTGTGAAAAGCCCGTGAGAGATACCCACCAAACACCCTTCCATCCCATCTCTTAAATACCCCTCCGCCGCCGCAGTCCCATCCACCACAAACGTCGTGGAAGGCTGAATAATCTGTGTAGTTAGCACCACCGTGCATTGTCCCCACAAGTCTACCATACTTGCCCAACTTCTCTCTTGGCGTGCAGCTTGCATATTGTGCTTGCATGGGTAGTTGAATTAGCGAGTCGTGATACGCCAGAGCAACTCAGACCCGCCGAACTAGTTACCGAAAACTACTAAACCAGGTTTCCTTTAACATGGCCCCCTGATTTACTTACATCTGCACAACTAACACCCCTGTCTGTAAAACCGCACTACCGCATAATCCTATCCCACACATCTCACCTCATCTCATCCACAACTTCCACCAAAGCAAGCACTTCAATCAACGACGCTTACAAAAGCCGTGCTCAGAACGCACGACACAACTCCTTCTCATACGTCCCAACCGTCTTGTAGTTAAACCCCGCGCGGACATAATCTCCCCTTCAACATCCAAAACCGATTCATTGCCCACACAAAGTCTAACTTGCATCACCTGTCGCCATCACCTCTACCAGTACACAGTTAGCGTATAGAAGGATTGTGGATCCAGTAGACATGCCTGCCGTCTGGCATCCATCCGGCCTCTCGGACGAAACCTATGCTGACGAACCCCCCATCTTTGTAATCTTCTCCCACACACGCATTACCAATCATCACGTGCCCATCAATCCAAGTCATGTACACACAAGCATCAAACTCGAAATCTACCGCAAACAAACCCACCAAAAAAACATATTATTCTCAAAAACCACACAATCTGCTAAACTCCAACTCCACGACATCTAAAAAATCTAAGTTACGCAACGACAATCTACGCAGGATAATGTTCAAACAAAAACCCCGCCGCCATTTCCACATTCCCATCCGTAGCATTCAGCGCAGCAACAGCCTCGTGTCTTTCAAACCCCAGCACAACCAACTTCTGCACCTCCTCATCCGGCCATGGCGCCCGTGCTGGAGGCAAGTTGGTAACCATGTTGCGAATCTGGTCTGCGGTAACGGCTTGCAACGGGCGCTGCTGTTCCGTTGGCGGTGATGGTAGTGATGGCGGTACCTCACTACGCAAGACCCTGCCCAGCGCCGCCACCCACCCCGTCTGCACAGTCTCAGTATTGAGTTCAAGCTCAGAAACATGTACGAGATCGTCTTCGTAATCCCCGCAGTTGAAGTACTCCCATCCCATGACGCCGCCGAAGCCGTTGCCAACGCCCTTGTACTTGTCGCGTAGCCTAGCGCAATTCTCGCTCAGTTTAGCCAGGGGGATATGCCCGGCGCCGTTGCCGGGGTTGGTAACTACGCCCATGACGACTTTTTCTGGTTTCCAGCCTGCGGCGATGATGGTGTCGTACCACATTGTTGTTCCGGCGTCGCCCCATCCACAGTAGAATTGCGTGTTGTACCAGGAGATTTCCCGGCCGTAGACGCTGCATTCGAGCTCGGGGTAGCTGAAGCCACTGAGATGGGGGAGTGTGGGATGGAGCGGGTTGGGGCTGGGGCCTGAGGCTAACATTGGGCGGGGCGGGCGCAAGTGGGCGGGAATGTTCGGGTCGGGGATGAGAGCTGTAGCGACGGGCGCGAGGGTGATGATGAAGTCCGGGCCAAAGTCTGCTCGTAGACGGGAGATTAGACGCGTTATGGTTGCGAGGGGGACTTCTTCTTCCACGTCGAGATCGAGGCCGGAGAGCTTGTAGACGGATATTATGGCGTGGAGGGATGTGTAGTACGCTTCAAACTGCGCTCCATTAGCTCACATAAGATTGGTTACTCATAACGATATCCTGTACATTCTCATCGTCGCCGCCCAGTCTCTCGAAACTGCCTTTGGCTGCCCCTCCTAGCATGCCCAATACCTTGACCCCGCTCCCCTGTAACCACTCCACCTCCCCCCATAGCTGTGTGTATCTCGCATCATCTGGACGGTGATCGTTCAACGTGATATTCCCCGGACCATCATTCAAATGTATCGCCGCGACGATGACATGCGTGATGCCCGTGTTGTTGGTAAGCAGAGGCAGTAACGAGTGGTAGTTGCCATCTGAGTCGTGGAAAGTCTGGTGATAAACAATCAAACGGGGTCCGGTAGTAGGGGGGAGGAGTTTTGGTGCGGACGAAGTCATGCTTACAGCATATGGTGGGCAAAGTCTACAAGTCAACCTGGTACGTGGACGCGTTCCTGCATCCAGCGTGTGCTTCGTAGGGCTGAAGTGGGGCAGACACGCTACGTCATGACGGCCCTGGAACACGGATGACATTACGAGTCAGATCGTCAGAAAATATTGGGAGACACTTAGTTGGCTGCATTACAAAATATGATGCATGCAAGTGCTAACATTGCCCGACCGGAACGCCACTTGCTGTCCGTTGAGGTACAGCCCTAGACCTTGACTATGTCTGTCCTTGTATCCAGAACAAAAGGGAATGCTGTCACTAATATCTAGTGAACTTCGCAGAACCTACACATTCACTCAATCCATAACATTCGTAGTGTCCTCCAGGGACATTTAGTGATAGCCGTTGCTGTATTCGTGACGCGTGTCACCGTTCATTCCACCAAAGTAAGGGTGTACGACGGTCTGTTTTGCCGAAATGCGGCCAGCAGGGTCATATACAAGGAGCAGATCGAGCAGATCGAGACCGACCTCATCGAGGTTTGTGACAATGTTTGCGACATCCGTCCGACCCCACTTGGGGAAGGACGGCTTGAAGTCGGGGAAAGATGTGACACCAGGCCAGTCCTGCTCATTGGGCGTACCGAGGATACTGGCGAGTGTCAGTGTCATGTATGTGCATGATGAGGCTCAACATACCGGAAGATCTTGAAAATTTCGTCAATTTCAGAGTCGCCGGGGAAGAGAGGCTTGCGCGTGCACATCTCGGCGAAAATGCAGCCTACAGACCACATGTCGACACCAGTAGAGTATTGACGGCCACCGAGCAGAATCTCTGGAGAGCGGTACCACAGCGTAACAACCTGTAAATGTTAGACAGAACCTCCAGTTTTGTGCAAATCGTCATACCTCGTGCGTGTATGTTCTGAGCGGGACACCAAAGGCGCGCGCCAGACCGAAATCCGCCAACTTCAAATTGCAGTCCTTGTCGATCAACAGATTCTGAGGCTTAAGATCGCGATGCAGCACGCGGTGAGCGTGGCAGTACCTGACACCCTGGCACAACTGCATCATGAACTTCTTCACCATCTTGTCGTCCATGACCAGATTCTGACCAGCCAAACCAGAGCCCTCTGGCAACGCCTTGCCTCGTCCACCCTGACTGACGGGCAGCGCCTCCATGTATTTCTTCAGATCCAAATCGAGGAATTCGAAGACGAGGTACAGCTTGTGTCCGTCGGCGTGTACAATATTGAGGAGGCGGACAATGTTCGGGTCGTTCATTTCCTTGAGCAGCGAGATTTCGCGAATGGCAGTCGACGGCACGCCCTCATCTTCGGCTTCCAGGCGGATCTTCTTCAATGCGACAATGCGCTGGTCTTTGGTCGTCAGGTCTCGGGCCTTGTAGACAACTCCGTAAGTTCCTGTTTAGGTTAGTAAGCATGTCATGATGCTGCAGTACCAAAACGAAAGCCTCTTACCTTCTCCGACCTTTTCCAACTTCTGGTAGTTCTCCATTGTGACTGCGGATGCTCAAGACGATAAGCGGTCAAGCGTGTTTAGCTGGGGTGATTAAACTTGTGCTGTTTTGCAGCGAGATCGAGTCGGCTGGGTTTACAGATGCACTGAGATTCTTCCTTTTATACACCTGTCCTCGCAGAGTGCAGTGTGAAGAAGGTGTGCAGTAGTTCAAGGAGAAAGCGGCGTTGGTGTTGTGCCTAGAAATTCAGATAGGGTAAACACCTCGACCGACGCTTGCGGAAACGCGCCAGGCAGGGCCCTGTTGGCGCCAAAAAACGCGAGCTTAGTCACGCTCCTGCTGCATGTCCCCCAACTGCCTTTACCTTTCCCGCCGCGGGGCGACGGTTGCTTGAAAAACATATCCTGCTATCACCATCTGCACGGTTATAATACCAAGTGTGGTGGTTCGGGATGCACCACCTCGATCCTCATGAGCGGCCTCCGGACGGCATCCGCAATGTCTACAAAAAGTACCAAAAGATGGGACTTGAACAACTCAATCAAGACACGGAGATTATCGACATTACAGATTATGCAACTGCGTCATCCAACAGCAATGTACACGTTGTTGAGCAGCACGCGGCCGAGCAACTGACCGCTACTTTCCGCGCCTTCGCCGGTCAAGACGTGGTGGCGCAAGAGCTAGACTTGCCGTCATCGATACCAGTCTACGAGCACGAGGACATGCCAGGTAGGAAAGTCTCTTTGTGCTTGTAATGTTTGCGTTTTCTGCGCTGTCATGGGATTGCATACGGTTCCATTTCAACCTATCCCTGTCAATTAGATGAATTGGTCAGTAGTTTTATCTGAGTATACTTCAAACTGCACATAACTTTTTTTACTGCCTTATTCTTATCTCCAACTCACCTATCACCCCTGATAAATTACTTCAGATTGCAGTACTCCATTTCATTTCCACCACCTTCATTTCTATCCATATCCACATCATCTCCCAGCATCCCCCATCTCCTAAACCACACCTAACCTACCAACAGGCCTACACATCCTCCCCACGCTCCTCCCCCCAGAAATTCAATCCATCCTCCTATCCCGCCTCCTCCACCGCGACCTCTCCAACCCAGCCCACCTAACAAACATCCACACGCACTACAACCTAACCTACCCCCCATCCTCATCCTCATTCTTCACCCTTCCCCCAACCTCCCCCCACCCCATCGCCTCCCCCCTAAACCCCACCATCCACACCCCCCTCCCCATCTCCCCCCTCCTAACCCGCAAACTCCGCTGGACCACCCTCGGCGGCCAATACAACTGGACCCTAAAACGCTACCCAACCACACCGCCACCCCCTCCTTTCCCCACCGATATAAAAGCCTTGTTAGAAGCTGTTTTCCCGCAAACGCGTGCAGAGGCGGCGATTGTGAATTTGTATTCTCCGAGGGATACGTTGAGTTTGCATCGGGATGTTGCCGAGGACAGTGGGAGGGGGTTGGTGAGTGTGAGTTTGGGGTGTGATGCTGTTTTTGTTGTTGGTGCGGGTAAAGAGAAGGGGGAGGATGGTGGGGAGGAGGGGGAGAAGGTACTAACACTCAGACTCAGGTCGGGAAGTGCATTGTACATGAGTGGCACGTCGCGGTTTGCGTGGCATGGTGTACCCCAGATAGTAGCAGGGACGTGTCCGGCGTATCTGGCAAACTGGCCTAGTGGAAGCACGGATGGACATGGAAAAGCAGAATACGAGGCGTGGAAAGGGTGGATGGCGAATAAACGGGTGAATCTCAATGTAAGACAGATGTGGGATGAAGATTTCAAGAAAATAAAGTGTTTATTAGGTATAGCAAACAAACAATCTACGTGTATCAAGCAAAAGGGGGTATGTATACGCAATCACGTGTCCAACGTTTCAACCTTGCACGTTGAGTCTTTTCGCAGCGGGGGAAGAAGCCGAGGGACTATTCCCGCTAGTATTTGCCTGGCTCGCCTGGCACGGCGCTGGTGGGTGCAGCCGTGGCACTACCGGGTACTGCGGATCCCGGCTGAGTCGTGTTGGTGCCAGTCTTCTCCAGACCCTGTGTCTGAAGAGGAGCAGGCTGTGCTGCACCACCAGCGACGTGATCATCAGTCACAGGGCTAGCTGGCGTACTAGCATCAGGCACCTCAGCGGTAACAGTGCCAGCAGCCTGTTTAATAACCTCGTACCACTGAGCTGCGGCCTGCGGTGTGTGCGCCTTGAAAGCAAATTCATGTGTCATGGAAAAGGCACCGCCAATCTTGCCCTTGGACACATCCTTGCCCTTGACATTGAACTTCTGGCCATTGACAGCGCCGATGATACAGTCGGGGAGATACAAGGACATTTCCGGGACTGGGTCCTTAGCCACGTCGTCGTCAGTCTTGTACTCGTGCAGGAACTTTGCCGGCGTGATGACATAGTAGTTTGTGTCGTATGAGCGCATGATCTTGCCCCTCTTCTCGAGCGAACCGGAAATGAGTGGCTGCGTGGCACGGTGGGCTTGATTGGGGAAGCTAATGTCTGCTGCATTGCGTGCTGGAGCCGAAGGGTCGATGAGGATGTTGTTGTTGCGCTGGATGAAGCCGTTCCACTCAAAGTCTACGGGGATGCGTTGAGCGGTGCCCACCATATCTGTGTAGGCAGCTTTAATCTGTTCGGCCTGGGTGTTCATGATTGTCTGGAACTGAGTCATTCCTTGTTGGATTGTTTGGATAATGTGCGCTTCAAATTGCGCAAATGAGTTCTGCACACTGATCAAGTCTTGTCGGTTGTTGTTCTCCTCCTGAACTTGCTTGTGTAGGCGGTGGTTGACTCCACGTGAAATGACATAGGGATCGTCGGTAGCCTTTAGGTTGCCATGGTGAGAGTCAAAGGTCGCCGTGTACTGACCAAGGAGCTCAATGTGCTTTTGTGTTTGTTGACGAGCCTTGTCGACAGCCTTGCTACCCTTGCCAGCTCCCTTTGTAAGCTCCTTACTTTTGTTCTTGATCTCGGTATGCAGACGGTCGAAGATGGGGAGGATGGTGCCTTTAAGCTGCTTGGCTGTTTCGTAATGCTGATTGGAAAGGCCCTGGTTTTGTCAGAAAGGTGTATAGCCGCGCATTGGTTCGACGTACCTGGGTGTTGGATCGCATGTTCTCAAACATGCCTGCAATACCGCCGAGCGATTGGTCGAAGTGGTGACCCTCCTTCAATGGGTCTTTGACAGTCTATCGCATATTAGTAAATTTATCCACAAATTGCGCATTCAGTACCGACCTTTAGAACCCTCTCATACTCTTTGCCGTGTGCGTGGTTTGTCTTCTCTGTCGCGGTAACGTAGTCTTCGAGGTAGGCCACGGCATGCTTCCACGCTTGCAATCGCTCCGCGAATAGCTTTGTGACCTGCGAAATGTTAGAAAGATGACATTTGGTATCTTTCTGGATGGCTTACCTCTGAGGTATCTTCTCCTGGAACGGCGTCGTCGTCTGATCTGTTCGTGGTACTACGCGACGGCATCTCTGTTGTAGGGGAAGCCATTTTTACAAATTATATGTGTAACTCGTTTCTCTGGATAGAGGTGGTGCAACGTAAGTTGGGGGTGTCGCGGGAATTGTTGTTGTGAAGCTTCACGCGCTCTAGCTGAGTTAGGTACGCGATAGCGGGGTCGGTCGATCTTCCGGAAATGAAGCTTGAATAAGTAGGGATAACTGATAGTTTGGTAGTTATCAACTTTGGGGAATCAGGGTCCACGCAAAGGTTAAGGATTAATTTAAGCTATTGCGCTCCATTCTAGATCGAACCCTAGAGAAGCAAGGATGAAGGTCTGGCTGGCCGTATGACATCACCGCTGGCAGCTTTCGTCTAGATCGACGCGGGATCCTTTGAGATCTACGCCGGGACAAGGCTGCGCCACCATTTCGAGGAGATGGCGGAGATGTAGGTTCACGCTGATGACGGAGATGGCCGTATATTCCAAAAACTTTGTCTGCGCAACCCCAGAGTCGAGCGTGATGCATGACTTCATAACACGATTAGTGCAGTGCCTCAGGGGTACTATCTCACTACAACACTCGCCGTATGGAGCTTGAAACACATAAAGAAGCTTGGATTGCTCCTGGCGGTTAGTAGGACTAGTTACCCTCCTTCAGCATTGTACAGCTTATTTTTTCGCGAAGCAAAGTATTTGTCATACGGTGACGCTCTGCACCCGTCCATGGCCTTCCTTTGAAGAATTTCACCGTGGAGAAGCCGCTTCAACGCTCAACGTTATGAAGCCAAAACTTTCATTGGCTCTCTCTAACATTGCACTGCGTCTAGTAGAAGAAGGTGCATGCACAGCCTCCTCGCTACGTTACAGCAGAATGTAACTGGAATGTTCGTTTCCCCAGTATCTAATTGCGGGTAACGTGGATGGCAAGCGAGTGGGCCAGGCAAGCGAGTGGGCCACCCCACCAACTTTTTGCATCTACCTAACTTCAATCAATTATGGCTCCACCAAAACAATCCCAAAACCCTTCTTATGAAGCTGATATACAGCTAGCTATCTCAGCTACTACCCGAAACCAGCTCCAGTCTAATAGAGACGCTGCGCGGACATTTGAAGTCGCCCGAATGACACTCACGCGCCGACGCGCTGGTATACCTGCACGACGCGATTGCCAGCCTAACTCAAGGAAGCTTACCCAGAGAGAAGAGGAGGTGATTATTAGCTATATACTTCACCTAGATCAGCGCGGGTTTGCGCCTACCTACGCAGCTGCACGCGATATGGCTGATAAGCTGCTGGCTGCGCGCGGCGCTGGCCAGGTTGGGCAGAAGTGGCCAGCCAACTTTGTTAAGCGTACAGACAGTCTTCGGACGTGTTTCAACCGAGCGTACGATAGGCAGAGAGCTATGTGTGAGGATGCGACATTAATAAAGAGGTGGTTTAAGCTTGTAGAAGAGATAAAGGCTGAGCAGGGTATCTGCGATGAGGATGTCTACAACTTTGATGAAGCTGGCTTTATGATGGGCAAGATTACAACGCAGCTGGTTATAACAGGATCAGAGAGAAGAGGCCGGCGGAAGAGTATTCAGCCAGGCAATCGCGAGTGGGTAACGCTGATTGCTGCCATCAGCGCTGGTGGCTGGTCAGTGCCACCGTTCCTCATCTTCGCTGGTCAGTACCACCTATCAGCGTGGTATGAGGAGGATATCCCACGCGACTGGGCGATCGCAGTCAGCGATAATGGCTGGACGAATAATGAGCTTGGAGTTGAGTGGCTAAAGCACTTCAACGCTCACACGCAGGCTCGTACTATAGGCGCGCGTCGCCTGCTTATTATTGATGGCCATAGGAGCCACCAATCTCTAGAGTTCCAGGAGCTCTGTAAGGAGAACAATATCCATACGCTCTGTATGCCTCCTCACTCATCTCACCTACTCCAGCCACTTGATGTTGGCTGCTTCTCGCCATTAAAGCGCGCGTATAGCCGTGAGGTGGAGAGCCTCATGCGCAACCACATCAACCACATCACCAAGCTAGAGTTTCTGCCTGCGTTTAAGGCTGCGTTTGATCGAGCGTTCACGCCAGCTAATATCTACTCAGCCTTCCGCGGCGCAGGCCTTGTTCCTCTACAACCAGAGGCTGTTCTATCAAAGCTAGATGTACAGCTGCGTACACCTACTCCTCCAGCAGCTCTACCAGATGCTCCCTGGGTAGCTCAAACGCCGAGCAACGCGCGTGAGCTTGAGGCTCAGTCAAGCCTTATACGTGAGCGCGTGCGCCAGCATAAGAGCTCATCACCAGCTTCGATCATTGAGGCGATTGACCAGCTGAAGAAGGGCGCTGAGGTGATGATGCTGTCTGCTGAGCTGATGCGCGATCGGATCTCTAGTCTTGAGAAGGCTAACAGCGCAGCCTCAGCGCGTAGGCAGCGCTCTAAAAGGCGTATACAGAAGCATGGAGTACTCACAAAGGGAGCTGGAGAGGATATACTAGCTCAAAATGAGGCTGACCAGCAGATTGCTCATGAAGAGCGTCAAGGAGGAGCGCGATCAGGCCTTAGCCAGCGCGCTCAAAGGCGCTGCACCAGGTGCAAGGAGACTGGGCACAACTCGCGCACATGCAACACTAATACTCTTAATATAGAGTAATCTACTGTATCAATATCTAGCAATAATATTATCGCGTTGTTGAGATAAGTCGCTTTGAAGTTACAAAAGTTGGTGGGGTGGCCCACTCGCTTGCCTGGCCCACTCGCTTGCCATCCACGTTATACTCTTATTGCAACTTGTGTTGCCTTTTCTACGAGCGCCTGCTTTGGATGATGAATAACAGAATTGCCAACGATGCTGAGCTTGCAGCGCATGCCAATCCCTTTACCGAACTGACCCAACCAAAACATATATTAGCATCATCTACCACCTGCACGAAGTTCGGTGGTGGTGAAGTTAGCAGATGCAGAGATGGTGGGGTGCATCCTTATCGATAAAGAATAAAAAGTTGCCCTTCGTGACGCAAACCCGCGCTCAATTTCCTAGCAGCAAAGATTCCACCATGTCTTCAGCATTCGGCCCAATAGCAGGTATATACCTTACTTCTATCGCTACGAGTCGCATCTGATGTCTCTTAGAACAACATCAACCCAAGTTCGACCTGGGAATCTGGCACTCGCTTTTCAACTGGGCCAATCTCACCGTCGCCGTGCAAAATCAATGGGGCGGCCCCGACTCCTCAGACAAACGCGACTGGCTCGCAGGCCAAATCTCCGAACTCTTCGCCGCTGAACCCTTGACCGACGCCGAGGATGTGGAAGTCGTGCTCCTGCAAGTCCTCGAGGACGAATTCGGTGTACGGGTAGAAGACGAGACTGAAGTCGCTGTCGCGCGTGAAATTATGAAAATACGCAAGGAAATTGGCGAGGGCAACACTGCGACAGTCGATGCGCTACAGAAGAAATGGGAAGAGAGGAAGGGCAAGGAAGTTGCTACAGGAAGTGTCGACGTAAAAGAGACCAACCAGGAGGGCGAATGGGATAGTGTGGACGAGGAGAGTGATGAGGACGAAGACACGGAAATGGGCGATGCGCCTGCGCTTGTACCTGCAAAGCCCAAGCCAGAGCCAGAGGTCGACGACGACGGCTTTACCAAAGTAGTCGGCAAGAAGAAGAGGTGAAGGGAGTCAGAAGTAATGCATTACCTCGGAACTTACGAGATATAATGAGACCTACTGACTACGATCTGGGTCATGGCCAATCGAGGAAGGATAAGCAACATGTTAAGCACCATGCGACGAGTACATGTTAACCACAACAAGCCACTCAGAATTAATATGAGTACTATACGATACCTGAAGTAACAAGTAGCCAGGTATCGCCTACTCAAACTACCACTACATTGTGTATCTTTGCTGTTGGTGTAACGCGGAGTGTGCCTGAGATCATAATGGCTGATAGATACGCTAATGCGGCAGCGCTGGGCTGGTTGCGGAGCAGCTTGCATGCGCCCCGCCGCACTCGACTGAACCCTTGATTCACCCACCAGCTGTCTTACAGCCAAACATCCTTAGTAACCACTCATACACATTCCCCCTTCCTCTGCGTCCCTTCTGGACTATCGTAGCCATGGATTCCGCCTACGATCATATCCAGGAGGAGAGCTACCCGGAAGATCCCACCAAGCAGTCAAGCAGCGGTGACAGCACCCATCAGGAGACAGCAACCAACTTCAACACGGAGTTCCAAGATGCATACAAGGCCATTTCTAGCAGCCCTTGGGCAGCGCGACTTGGAGGCTTTTTGGGTACAGTGAAGAAGCAGGTAAGCAAGCGCCGTGTGCTTCAAGTCATCGCATGCTGACTGCGCATGACACAGGGTGAGCAATACTACGATACCGCAAGCAAGCAATATGCGCCCTTGACCAAGAACGCCTCTGAAAGCGTATCCAACATTATCAGCCATGCTAGAAAAATATCACTTCAACCCGGCGACGCGTCATCAGCATCCAAGCCCACAAACACCGACAAGGACGCCTCTATAGAGGAAACAAAGGAGGAAATTGAGGCACACCCCGATCGCCCTGAGTCTCTGACCGCAGACATCGTCAAGGAAGCAGAGGGAATCTTATCGCGCTTCCGGTTGGAAGCCACGAAACGTCTCAAGGACGTGGAAAAGGCCGAGGACGCGGCCGACGAAGCGCTCCTCAAGTTCGGCAGCAACATCCGCAACTTCCTGCGCGACGCCGTCACAATCGCACCGCCGGAATCAGGCTCCGAAGCCGACAAAAATGGTGAGGTACTCTTCGAGTCAAAGGACAGCAGCGGCAAGAAGGTCGTTCACGCTACCCGCTTCGACGCCCAATTGCACGTCATCCACTCCACGCTCGACTCTTTCCTCAAAGACCCTGCGAGCCCAGAGTGGGAGAAGTGGCAGGCTGCTTTCGATGTAGACAAGAAGACTGATGCCATTGCAAAGGATCTGGAGAAGCACGAGGAACTGCGGAGCGCCATGGAGAAGTGCGTCCCAGAGAGGGTGGATTACAAGGTTTTTTGGCGCAGATACTATTTCCTGCGCCATGTAATTGAGAGCGAGGAGGCTCGGCGAAGGGAGATGCTCAAGGGTATGTTGAGTCCAAGAAATCTAGCAGGTAGCAATGTAGACTAACTCGCACCAGCATCCACACCCGCCGCCGACGAAGAAGTCGCCTGGGACGAAGACTCCGAGGAAGAAGATGACGACGACGATGAAGAAGAGGAAGAAGATGACGACGACGAAGACGACGACGAAGAAGAAGAAGATTCAGACGAAGAATCAGACGACGACAACGCTACCGTCTCCGCCAAACCCAATACAACTACACCCACATCCACCACCGAACCCCCCAAAGACCTCGCCGCTTCAGTAAAAACTCTCAAGCCCGCAGACACTAAAACACCTGCTGCCGCACAACCCCGCCGTTCAAACGATGAAAAGAGCGTGGCGGATAGCGACGCTAGTTATGATCTTGTGAGTGGGGCGACGAGTCGCGCGCCGGGTAGTCCGCAGGATGGGAAGAAGAAGACGGTTGCTGAGGAGAGTGATGAGGAGGAGGATTGGGAGTAGTTGGGCTGGCTGTTGTGTTTGTGTGTGAATATGAGAGAGGGTCTTTGTGGCCTGAAGCAAGCGTGGCTTTTTTCTTTCTTTGGCGTTTCAATGCGGGAGATTCTTGGTTGATTACGGATGGGAGTGTTTATACCGGACTGCTGGATACGTGAATATGAGATATTGATCGCTATATGGGGATTTTTTGGTATGAGTGATGCTGATCGTGTCTCTTAAAGTGGTATCTTGCTAACTAACAGAACGCCTTTGATGATGCCCATGCCCATGCCTGCCCATGTCCCATGCATATATAGCGAATGCACACATATACATCCTTTACTATACCATCTCATCACCCACCTCCTCCCTCCCCTCCTACACTCACAAACAAACCTCCCTACCTCCCCACAGTACTAGGCGGCGTATCCGGCTCGCTCCCCCTCTCCATCCTCGCAAAACTCGGCTGTTTAAATCCCAACCCCCTCGCGGGCTGCGTAGTCGCCCTTCTGAGCAGCGGACTCGGCGAGGAAACATTATTCCCATGTGTAGCATACATGCCCGGTCTAGACCGCGATCCAGACCGCGGTGTGGAACTGGTGTATGAAGGCGTATTACCACCATCGCGATAGTACGGGCTAGACGCAGACGATGCTGCTCGTCCAAGGGGGTAGGTATCATACTCGAATCTCGATGAACCCTCCACCACCCCTGGAGAACTACGGTCGTAGCGTTGCTCACCCCCGGCGTCGTAGTGGGAGTCGTGGTGAGACTCGTGTAACTCATGTTCCAAATACTGCTCCCCACGTCTCTTAATCGGACTCTCATCATACGGATCAAACCCCACACGCATGCGCGCCTCCCTGCGTACGCGTCTCCTCAGTTCGGCGTCGCCGCCCGCACCGACCGTGCTGCTGGAGTCTGAGAGGAAGAAGTTTAGGAATTCGTCGCTGATGGCGAGGTGGCTTGATTGTTGGAATTGTTGGAGTGCGGTTAGGCGGATTAGCATTTCGAGGAGAGAGAGGGATGTTTTTATCGCGGGGAGTGTTGTTGGTGCTGCAGGGGCGGGTGGGTGGTGGAGGGCGTGCGGGGTGGGTTGGATTTGGTTGGTGGGGGTTGTTTGAGGGGAGGATGGTGTTGTGGGTGTGCTGGGGCGGAGGTTGAGGGTGGAGAAGCGGGTGAGGAGGGACGGGTTGGGGGAGGTTGTTGTTGTTGGGGAGGGGGATAAGGTGGTGGGTTCGAGGTCTTCTTCGGTTTCGGAGAGGTCTGAGTCGCTGGTTGGGTCTTCCGTGTAGACTTCAAAGGCCATCCATTCTAGATCGAGGGTTGCGGGGAGGCGCCATGGGTGTGAATACACTGGTTCTGGATCTAGTTCTGGTGTTGGTGTGTCGAGTACAGACCGCTCCAGGTTTGGTGTTGATTCTCGTCGCAGCTGTTCTTCCAGTTCGCTCTGCTCAGGATCTATATCGTCTTCACCGATGGTGTGCGAGTCATCAGACTCGTAGCCTGTCGGTTCCGCATCCTGTTCCATCATGCGCCGTGGCGGTGTAGCGTGGACGTCTCGCTTCAGCAATAATATGGGATTGTTGCTCTCACCGTCAGCACCGATGTTGAGAATTTTGCCCGTGTCAGCATAGAAGATCTTTGAGACTTCATGAATAGGTATTATTTCCCGCACACCCGCTTGCTCAACACCATCGTACGGGCCCGGTTGAGGCTCGCTTTCTTCAAACTCGTGCATGCGGCCGTCATCTAGATCTTCAACAATCAGAAGCTGATAAGCAAACTCTTGCATCAAATTGTCGGAAGGAATGTGGTCGTGGTTGGCCTCATCAGCACGATGACTATCCTGTCCAAATGGTGTGGGGTAGTCGTATACATGATCCAGTGGCACTCTCATGAGTGTGACACGTGCCTTGTGCATGACCTCCTTCCATGTAGTCTCTCGCATGTCTTCTTCATGTGGCCGATTTGCATGGCCGGCAAACAACATGTACATGGACAAGGTAAAGGTTGGTCCGATTTGCTGAGCCCTAGGTCTGGTCGCACAGTACTGCATGTCCCCAGAAGTCAAAAAGGTACTGGCTTGCAGAAGCCTCGATGGCGATACGGTAGGCGGCAGCGTAGTCGAAAGATTAACCCCAGAGGTATTGATAGCCAGAGTGATAAAAGGCACAGAGTCTTCAATACGGTCCAACAACCTCTTCATCTCTTCGATGATAATCTTGAGTTCGACTCGATTTTGCTCTTGTGACTTTGCTTTGGAGCTGCCTCTCTTAGCGAGCTGCTCTTCTGTCACGGCCTTCTCGACACGACTGCCTAGCGTCTGGATTTCCCATCGGAGCGACTTGGTCAGAGTAACGGCGGACTCTAATGTGGTGTTCCCACGTGCCGCTATTAGCTCGATCATGTCGATGGCGGGTGAAATGATTTTGATTTTAGAGTCCAGTTTCTGTTGCAGTCTCGCAATCTCTTGCTTCTCCTGGCCATCCACAGTCTTCATCAGTCGGCCGCACTGTTTGAGCGCATAGTGGCTTGTGATTGCTATGCCGCTTCGGATGGCATAGCTCATCGCCTGCTGCGTGACCTATCATATTGTCAGCTCATTCGACAGATGACGAAAGAGGCGGCTTAAACGTGGTCCGTGGGTTGGGAGTCATAGTATAGTCATCTTACCTTTTGTAATAGTGCATCCATGTTGAAGTATGGTTAGAGCTCAACCTTGAGGGTGTAGGTGAGCGGGGTGTTGGGGTAGAACTGGGAGATAAAGCATGAGGTCGAAGGAATAGGTTGCGAGGAAAAGCAACCGGCAATGTCTATAGTGAGAAACAGAAGGTGATTGTTGCGCTGAAACTCGCAGGGTTCTTTGAGCGTGTTGCTTGCTCTCACTAGGAGAAGCGCGGGCCAATGTTAGGCAGCGAGCGATGGGCGTTGAGTCAGCCCCACTCAGCCGCCAGCCGCCAAAATCGACCCCGCCAAATCCTTGCGTGGGCATCAACGAACGGGCACAAAATCGCTTTTCGCCGACGACTGACGTCGACGTATATAGTCCAACAGTCGCTCCCTCGCCGCCTGGAAAGATACACGACTGCGCTTACATCTGCCGACACGTGCGACAGTCTTCCGACCTTCACCCTCGCCCTCGCCCCGTTACGAATACGCCCCCGACACGCTTTCGACGAACAAGGCGCCCAAGATGGCTGACAGCTGGGAGCAAGAGGAGGAGAGGCTCTCGCAGCAGGCGCAGGGCATGAATCTGAACCAGACGCCGACTTTTACGCCTGGAGCGCAGTCTTTTACCCCCGGCGCAAGTGCATTTGTGCCAGGTCAGGCCTACGGTGGCTACCAGGGCTACAACCAGTATGGCCAGCAGCAACAACAGCAGTACGGGGGTTACAACCAGTATGGCGGTCAGGGCCAATACTACCAGCCTCAGCAAGGCTATCCACAGTACGGACAGCAATATGGTGGTCAACAACAGGGCTATCCCAACTACGGCCAGCAGTACCCGGCTCAACAGAACTTTCAGCAGCAACAGCAGCAACAAGGCCAAGCGCCTGTACGGATAGCAAAGCGAGGCGATTCCGACATGGCAGCTTCTGAGAGCGCAGCAGCCGCCCCCGCTGAGGCCAAGAAGGAAGCGCCTAAGGCAAAGGTTTTGTCAATCGGTGGCGATGGCGCGCCCAAGGCAAAGGTACTCTCCATCGGCGGAGACACCACCACACCAAAGGTCGAAAAGACAGGCGGAACCAAGGTCCTGAGCTTGGGCACTCCAGCTGCCCCATCTGCTGCCAAAGAAAAGGCGGAAAAAGAAAAGGGAACAGTGGATGCTGGGTCCAAGGTCACGGCCGCAAAGGCCATTGAAAAGACAGGAGAGCCCACCCCGGCATCTGCCGGCTCTGGCAGGACCTCACCAACACCATCATCGGGCCGTAACAGCCCAACACCCAAGGAAAAGGCCGCTGAGAAGGCGGCCGCCAAGGCACAAGACATCGAGAACGAGGTGGCCGAAGTCGTCGACGAGGCTACTCTTGCTGAAATCTACGGCAAAGAGCATGTCAACATCATCTTCTTGGGTCACGTTGACGCTGGAAAGTCCACCCTCGGTGGCAGTATCCTCATCTCAACGGGCATGGTAGATGAGCGAACCCTCGACAAGTACAAGAAGGAGGCCAAGGACGCTGGTCGTGAAACCTGGTACATCTCATGGGCGCTTGATCTCAACAAGGAGGAGCGACAGCAGGGTAAGACTATTGAAGTTGGTCGAGGTTTCTTCGAGACGGAGAAGCGCAGGTACTCCATTTTGGATGCTCCAGGTCACAAGACCTATGTGCCCAACATGATCAGTGGCGCTTCGCAAGCAGATGTCGGTATTCTTGTCATTTCCGGACGAAAGGGAGAGTACGAGACTGGTTTCGAAAAGGGTGGTCAGACCCGAGAGCACGCTATGTTGGCCAAAACACAAGGTGTCAACAAGATTCTCATCGTTGTGAACAAGATGGACGACCCTACCGTCGAATGGTCCGAGGATCGTTTCAAGGAGTGCACTACCAAGGTTGTAGCCTTCTTGAAGGGTCTTGGATACAACCCAAAGACCGACATTAGCATGATGCCAGTCAGCGCTCAGACTTTCACGGGTATCAAGGACCGTGTTCCAAAGGTGAGATGAATAATAGTTTATGTGAAGCACAGACTGACTATCGCCTCGTAGGAACTCGCACCATGGTACGACGGCCCTTCTCTACTCGAGTACTTGGACAACATGCAGGCGCTTGAGCGAAAGCTCAATGCTCCTTTTATGATGCCCATCGCTGCCAAGTACAAGGACATGGGTACCATGATTGAAGGCAAGATCGAATCTGGTGTCATCAAGAAAGAACAAAAGTAGGTCCCACTCATACCAGAGGTGTATCTAAGCTTGCTGACAATACAAGGTACCTCATGATGCCCAACCGACAAACTATCCACATCTCTGCTTTGTTCGGTGAACAGGAAGAAGAAATTCCCGGCGCCATGTGCGGCGACCAAATTCGCGTGCGAATCCGAGGTGTTGAAGAAGAAGATATTCTGCCGGTAAGCTCTTCTCGCCATTTTCAAACGACATTCACTGACATGAACCTTTCAGGGCTACGTCCTCTGCTCACCAAAGCGACCAGTTCACTGCGTCTCGCAATTCGAGGCGCAAGTCGTACTTCTTGACATCAAGTCTATCCTTACTGCTGGTTTCAACTGCGTGCTTCACGTTCACGCCGCACAAGAAGAGGTCACCATTACAGCACTACTTCACAAGCTGGAGAAGGGCACAGGACGACGATCCAAGAAGGCACCAGGGTTCGCGACCAAGGGCATGAGTATTATTGCACGATTGCAAATCACTGGTACCGCCGGAAGCATTTGTGTAGAGCGCTTTGAGGACTACCCACAGCTGGGACGATTCACGCTCCGCGACCAGGGTCAGACGATTGCTATTGGAAAGATCACCAAGCTCATCACAGACGAAGCTTAAGTTGTGGAAAAAGTAGCGCATGAGTGGGGTTGGGGAAACTACAAGTACAAATAGTGCTTTGAGGTTTGATACCATGCCACATGGGGGCTGATGGCGTTCTGGACGCAAATGGTAGCGTAGATATATCATCTAAAACTATATGATTGCTATTGTTCTCCACCCTGCGTTGTATAGCCGTACTTAATATACCGGGTACCGGGTTGGAAGTTATGCCGGCAGTTCTTGTTTCGCACCTTTCGGCTAGAGTGCTAAAGTATTAAGGTGGACAAGCCTTTTAGTGCTGCAATCAATGGTAACCTTAATTCAGTTGCCGTCTCGGGCAAGTTTCAAAGGCACAATGTCGGCTTAACTCTGGCCCTAGACTAGGGACATGGAAGACTTGGAACCATTTCGTCGAATCACATGATTTCGCGATGCTTTCCAGTGAAGAAAAGTTGAGTGGCGCTTTCGCTGAGAAGTCATAAACTCGCTGCTTACGTCATCCACCTCCGCGGCCAACTCATGCGACGATACCAACATTCACACTTCCACAGCCATCCTCAACCCACCCAAACACACACGCAAACCCCACACCGCACCACAGCGCCTGTCGCACACCTCCCCCAAACCCACCACCCAAAATGCAGGGCTTCAACATGGGCCGATATTACCCTCCCGACGCCACCAACCCGCCAACCTTCAACTCCTCCTCCCACCCCCTCGGCACCCGCGCCCGAAAACTCCCCCAAGGCATCCTCACCGTACGCTTCGAACTCCCCTTCGCCGTCTGGTGCAACACGTGCAAACCCTCCGCGATAATCGGCCAAGGCGTACGTTTCAACGCCGAGAAGAAGAAAGTGGGAAATTACTACAGCACGCCCGTGTGGAGTTTCCGGATGAAACATTCGGCGTGCGGGGGGTGGTGGGAGATACGTACGGATCCGGCGAAGAGCGAGTATGTTGTTTGTGAGGGGGCGAGGCGGAGGGAGTATGGGGGGTGTGGACGATGAGGGTGGGGAGGGGGAAGGCAGGTTTTTAACGGAGGAAGAGAGGGAGAAGAGGAGGGGGGATGCGTTTGCGGGGTTTGAAGGCAAGGTTGAGGAAAAAGGGGTAGAGAGGGAGTTGAAAGAACGGGTAGAGGAGTTGTACGATATAAGTGAGGTTTGGCGCGATCCGTACGATGTCAACGCTAAACTCCGCGGCGAGTTTCGCAAGAAGAGGAAGGTATGGAGGAAAGAAGATAGACACAAAGAAGGTATGCAAGAGAAATTCAGCCTGGGGCTGGATATCGCAGATGAAACAGAGGGCGATCGTACGCGCGCTGCGCTGGTGGAATTTGGCGCCGCTGGTGGTGACGCCGGGACTTGGAAACCACTATTCAGTGATTCGACAAATACAGAGACAGCGGTTGAACCGGTTCAGAAAACGAAAAAGTTAAAAGCAGAGGCCAAGGCGGAGGAGAGTCGGTTGGGCTTGCAGAAGAGGCTTATTACTAACACTAAAGCGGCGGTTGATCCTTTTTTGCTGAAGGATGGTGGTGGTCGGGCGAAGGAACGTGTTAATTTGGGGATAGTGAAGAGGAAGAGAGAGGGGATAGAAGGGGCTGGAGCTTCAGCCATTCCGCCTGTTGCTTCGACTGCGAAAGCGGACAAGGAAGGGACGAGGAAGAAACCGGATATTATGGCGGCGTTGGTGGGGTATGATTCTGATTGAGCTGGCCTGGTCTGGTGCATGTCAGATTGGTGTCATACCGTACTTCACGGGGTCGTGGCTCTAACACGCATCTTGGTTTGCTCGCGGGGCTTACCATCTCGACCCACGCGCTTGGTTGATCCAGCACACCCGACGTATTGAGGACAGCCCTATCCTAACCTACGACTTCTCAATCACACGAAACCGTTTCCGGTCGGACGAAAACCCCCCACTATCCTCGCCTACCCGCTTTTAGGCTTCTTCTTTTGCATGTATACTGGCGTTTGCGTGATTTTAGTTTAGAACAGAGACGATACCCCATTTTCTTTGTCGTTAGCAATAATCACTATCATGGCGAATTCGCCGTTTGGAAATTTGACGTCTTTTGTCTGCGTTCTCTGACCTGTTTTCAGTTCTTGGGGTGTGGAAAATAAGGGATTGACGGTAGGTTACCGCGTATGTCTGTCCACTAGCAGTTGGGGAGGAAGAAGAAGAAGCGGGGATTAAGGGGAGCCAAAGTAGCAGGAATAGAACGTGTGTGAGATGTATCAATAATTCGAACAAAAGATGACAAAGATGACAAAATCCAAGAAATTAGCAGGATGAAAAAAACAATCGTGGTATTCGTAAAGACATCGACAACAGAAAACACGAAACAGAACCGCTAACTATGTTAAAATAAAAACAAACGGTCTATAATGCAAAGCATAAATTCGTCATCACACATCCCCCTTTCCCATCACCATCTCATCTTCCCCCTTACCCCATCACCTCCTCACTCCCCCACACCCCCCAACCTCCCCACCACCCGCCCAACCAACGCCTCCACACTCGCACTCTGCAAAATATCAAACACACTAACCCCCACCTTTGTCTCCCTCGCCAACCAATTCTTCAACTCAACCGCAACCAGCGAATCCGTTCCATACGCCGCTAACTCCCTGGCTGGATCGATATCACCCACATCCATCATGAGTGTGCGGGAGAGTTTTTTCAGCAGCGCGGCGAGAATGAGGGATTGTGCTGTTTCGGGGGAGGGCGGTGGGGAGGTTGATAGGAGGGATGATAGGGGGAGTGCTGTGATGGTGTCCGTGGAGGAGGAGGTGGAAGTGGCGTTGTAGTGTTTAAGATGCGGACGTAAATACCGCAAATGACTCAACACAGGATCCCTGGCGAAAAACGGCATCTCATCCCCCCTCGCCCCCATAGCAGCAGCAACAACATCATCACCATCAGCGTCAGAATCCAGCCCTGTAACAAGATGTCCCAGCATAGGTTCCCGAACCCCCAATTCCATAAGCGCTAACATCTCCCGCTCGCTGATATGTTTGAATCCTTGCACTTTGACTTTCTGGCCCGCACCTTGCTTCTCGACTACGTAGCCCACGTCGCTGACGATGCCGACGTCGATGGCTGTCGCGGGCAGGCCGATGTGGTTCCGGTATTTGGCTAGGGCGACTTGGTACGCGCAGCCCGCGGCGTAGTTTGCCTGACCGGGGTTACCGATGAAGGAGTGGAGCGAGGATAACAAGATGAAGAAGTCGAGGGGTTGGGAAAGCGTGGTGTCGTGGAGGTTTTTTGAGCCGTAGACTTTGGGGAGGAGGGTCGAGGTCCATTGCTCGGCTGTCATGGTGGTGAAGAGAGAGTCGTGGAGTGTCATGGCGGCTTGGATGATGCCTTTGATGGGCGGGAAAGTTTTCAAGGTGGTGGTGAGTTGGTCGGATAGCGAGAGGTGGTCGGATATGTCGCATGCGAGGATGGCGGTGCGGATATGCGACGTGTGCAGGGTGGAGATGAAGGTTTGGGCCGAGGGCGAGGCGGCGCCCGAGCGGGAGAGGAAGATTAGGTTCTTTGCGCCGTGTTGGACGAGCCATTGGGCTATGCTTCGTCCGAGGCCGCCGAGACCGCCGGCGAGAAGATAGGAGGCGGATGGGTCGAGGGAGATGCTTGGGGGTGGCTTTTGGACGACCTGGGGTATTGTTAGTCATCTCGAGATAAAATGAATATGGTGAAGGATGGCTTACCAGAACTTTATCATCTGCCCTGGGAACCATGACTACCTGGCTTCCGTCCTGAACCATGTGTATAGCTTCTTCAAACTAGA